CTCGCCGCGAGGCGGGCACGCTGTGTGTGTGTGTGTGTGTGTGTGTGCTTGCGGGCTTTCTATTAATACCGCTGGTGTTGCTCGCCTCCCACCTTCGGAATGTGTGTTCTTGAATTGATGATGACTATTTTCATCTTGATGAATCAGACAAATCAGTACTGCCTTCTCGAACAAACCGCATTTCTCAATGGCTCTGTTGAGATCACTGGCAGTCCTGGCCATGACAGCTTCGGTTGCCAAAGCCGCCAACCCAACAACCTCCGAAGACATGGGACCTGCAGCCTTTATGTGGCCGGAAGACAGAGTATGGTCTGCCGCAGCTGATAATACAGCGCCTTGCGGTCAGTCGCTGGTGTGGGCAACCGTACAAATTTCCCGCTGAGTATGAAAGCACATATTAACTATGCTGTGGTTGCGTCGACTTCGACTAACTATGTGATAGCCAATGGTTAGGTTGCCCTTGTCGATCAAAAGGAAGCCTATAGCGTCGAACTCAGTATTTTGTACGATAACGGTTTGTTGTCCCTCTGCATCATCTTAAATAAAGCACATCAAATTTCAAGAGCCAATGTCTTTGCTCCAGACCCCAAGGAAGAAAATGACTTCAAAACACTTATAAAGCCCGAGGCCATGGCTGAGTTGGACAAGGGCCACACTTGCGTGAACCTCAAGAATTCACCATCCTTCGTTAAGCCTGGATCGAACGCCACTTTACAGATCAAATACGTAGCCAGCTTTGACAAGCCCGAGAACGAGACGTTTTACGCGTGTGCTGACATCACCTATGTCGAGTTTGCCAACTTCAAGGAAAAGGTTCCGTGCTTCAACGCCATGGTGCCTGATGACAGCAAGAAGGATACCCCTGAGCCCACATCCGATGCGTCCAAGAACTCAGACTCTACAAATTCCGGTCTCTCTGGCGGCAACGCCGCCGGCGTTGTCATCGATGTTGTTGACGGCGTCGCACTGATAGCCGCCGCTGCATTGCTCATTTACAGACGAAAGCAGTAGCGTTTGCGAACGTTGCGACCGAAGTACTCCCCTCGAAATGTCAAGTGGCATCGAGATTGGCAATTAAATAGAAGCGCACAAGCGTAGATTTTGTTATATGTAGTCATTTTGAGGCAGCGGGGACGGTTTGGCTGGGGCTCGAAAATTGTACACATTTTTTATATGCTTTTCTCAAAGAGACAACGGATGAAAGGTGTGTCACATGGCGAAGCGTTTCATGATTGCGATGAAAAAAAAATTGCAGTTCGTGTTCTCGCGTCACACTTGCTTTGTTTGTAATTTTTGTGACTCTTTGTTGTCACCACCGCGAGGCTAGGAATGGCCCACGTTATTGCCGAGTGCTGAGGGCGATACTCTGTCTGTTAAGCGAGCGACGTGAGGAAGGAGCCAGACCAAGCTTTTGAAAATTGAACCTGAAACCTCCCCCCCCTCTTTGTATCTTTGCTTTCTGCGTCACGCAAACACCTCTGCCAATTCCCGCTACCATGCATTGTTTACTGCTCAAGGTTTTCGGTGCCTATCTACGAGCTCGACATTTCGTTCAACGTGTCTTTGGACGAAAGAAACGTGACAAGAAGGCCAAGTCGCACAAGAAGCCCGGGTCGAGGAAAGGTTCTGTTAGCAGTCATTCCTCTCGTTCCTCCTCCCACCCTAAAAAAACGCTGCCCGTCAACATCATAGCCTAGGCAACAGTCTTTTACCGAAAAAAATTGATTAGCATCCGCCGACACCTGAACTCAACTATGAAGTATATTGGTTTCATTGCAGTACTTTTCCCTATCGCGACTACGGGTTGGGTTCTCAGAGATGCCCCCAAATCAGCCGCCCCCGACTTTGGAGATGCCACTATCGCCCGTTTTCCTTGGTCAGACATAACTATACAGACTGGAGTTGATCCCAAAGACATCATGTCGAGTTCAAACTCTGACGGAACTCTACCCTTTACTTGCCCTGAGGTGAGGCTGTTCTCAACCCAAGCCAGCACGCACGGAGCTGATGAAAAACTTCACACAGGGAGTAGGCCCGAGTATAATGGACTGTCCCGAAACCATTACAGAGTGGACCCGCATGGTGGACAAGGAGGGGAACATTGATGTAGATGGTGAATCTTGCACGTCTATTTCCAAGGCATGCTGCCAGGCCGTTGTTTGCGCACCATTGAGGACGAATGTTCGAGTTCAGCCAGGTGAAGTGACTGGTAAAATGTGGTCTCCGTTGACAATAAGGTGCATTTACGGGGGAAGAGGTGGCGTTTGGCACGATGGCGAAGCGAATTTGTACGTTCAGATGCTTCGCCCACGAAACGGCCAGTGTCCAGCTTGACGTGCCTGGATTTCGCGGTCCTTGTGCTCCCCCACAACACAAGTAGTAATGATACAGCTTCCTAGAGTCGTTTCTTATTATATTGAAAACAGCACCCTAGTCTAGTCCCGCCGTTTTTCATATGAAGTGGTGAAATCTTGAAGAGGTCTGTTCGTGGTTGAGGACGACTATCTACGATGTGGTACGCCATGAGGAGTGGAAAATGTGAAATCCACACTCTGCGCGTCCTTACTGATGCGTGGTTACGATTTAGAAAACCATGCCCTTGGTTTGCTTCCCCCTGGTCTCTTCCAATGTTCGCACATTGATGCTTCGCCACAAGAAAATACACAAAATAGCAAGAGCCATGAAGCACGAGCCGCAGATGGCCATGACGCGCTGCACGTCGCTATACGCATGAATAATCCCATCTCGTGCGGGACTGCCTGCGGGGAGCGCTAGCTGGGCCTCGATGTCGCCATAAATGGTCTCCGTCTGGTTCTTATAGTCGTCGGGCAGGTACCGGTACATCTTGTCCTCCATGCTGTTCGTCCATAGGCCGCCGGCGATTGCGAAGCCAATGGCCTGCCCGATGGAGCCAAACAGTCCGAACAGCGCAATGGCGACGGCAATGTGCTGGTGGTCGATGGAGGCCATGATGGCGAGCTGGCCGGTCATGGCCCAGACGCCTGTTGCAAAGCCGTTGAAGAGCTGGCACATGACGAGGACACCGACCGAGGTACTGGGGGTCCGGAAGCGCACAAGCAGCGCCGTGCCCAGGATGGCAAAGGGGATCATGCCGAGTGAGGGCCATTTGACGTTGCCAAAGTAGCGAATGTAGCTGGGGCGGTTAGTAGAGCTCGTTCTTGGGGGGTTCGAGTACGTGGCGGGCGGGCTTACACTCCGATCAGCGGGGAGATGAAAGACGATGCGAGCGAGAAGGAGTTCAAGATGTAGCCCGAGTCGGTGATGCTCTGGAAGTGCACGACCTCGAGGTATGACTGGTAGTACGTGTCCCAGCAGCTAGTTTGGTGTGAGTGGGTTGGTTATGGACGAGGAGATGATGGGCTGGGGGAGCATACAATATGGAGAGGAACATGAAGCCGTACAGGAGACAGGCTCCGAGAATGGTGCGGTCCTTGAGATACGCCCATGGGAAGTACTGGACGGGCGCAAAGTACTTCTCCCAGATGGCGAACAGCGCCAGCAACACGACGCCCACGACAATCATGGCAATGACGTAGCCCGTCCTCCACCCGTCTGAGGCCGTGTTGACCAGCTGGAAGGGCAGCAGGAGGAGAGACCATCCGGCGACTGTTAAAAACATGCCGATGACTGGGGGATATAAGTGAGCATGAAGGGGAGGGCAATTCAAGGGGGTCGGGGGTAAAAGACTCACCGTCAAATTCAATAAAGTAGTGCTTACACGACTCCCAGGCGGTCCGGTTCCTGGGCCGCTCAGGATAGACACCCATGCGCACGGCCTTTCTCTTGCTCAAGACGAAGACGATGGCAACGGGTATGGCGAAGAAGACGAGGATGATGCAAAACGAGTAAAAGGCCCAGCGGAAATCGACATTGGCGTAGAACAAGTCGGCGATTCTGGGTCCCGCAAAGGTGGTGGCGATGATGGGCGTCTGCTGGATGCCAAACAGGATGAGGCGGTTGCGCAGGGTCGTCATGTCGGCCAGGATGATGGTGATGATGTACCCGAGGCCGATGTGGCCTACCCAGTAGAGGGTGTGGCCGGCGGCGTAGGTGGGAACGTCTTGGCTGACGCCCTTTGTGATGAGGCCGACAACCATAAGGACAATCATGGCAACGAAGCCCTCGCAGCGGCCCCAGATGTCGATGATTTTGGCAATGGTGAGGGTGCACACGCCGCCGATGATGGAGGCGACGATGTCGGTGGCGGCGAGGAGGCCGTGCTCGCCAAAGGACGAGGTGATGAAGTTTTGGAGGTTGCCTGTCACGGAGCCCTGGAGCTGGTCGATGAAGGAGACGAGGTAGAGGCTTTGGGGAGGAAATGTCAGCAAAAGAAGAAAAGGGGCGGGAAGTTGGCTGTGTGTCGACGACGTACAGGACAAACATGATGATGAGGACTTGTTTTGTCCACACGCTGGTGATTGCCTCGACTCGCTGGACACCTTCCTGCTTGTAGCTGGGCTCGGTGTCTGGTTTCTTTTCACGGGCTTCATGGTTGGTGTTGATTTGGTCCTTTTCCATGTCGGAGGGATGCTTGTCTGGCTCCGCGACAAACCCGGGTGTCGTCGGGTGGGTGATTTGAGGCGCCATTTTGAGCTGCTGCTGCTGTGTTTCGTTTGCCAGAGGGAAAATTCTCAGCGCTGGACTACAACGAGACTCGAGGTCTTTCGAATGTGGCACACGAGGCAGGGACTCGCGATGCTTGTGGGTGGTTTTAATTTTACACAGCTGACGTCGCAAAAAGAGCGTCTCACTACGCACGGCGACGACGGGCGTCCATTATAACGACAGACAGGCCGCTCAACGGAAGCTTTTTAGCTAGCCGCAATACAGAGATAATCGGCAAAGGCGGCTGCGACGACAGGTGAAGAGAAGGGGACGATTACCCACCACCGTGGCAGGGATTCCCATCAACCACGGAGTATTGTATCTGATGCCCGGAACCAACCGCCACGCGCGTAAAGACCAACGAAGGTAGTGGCGACCCCCGGTTCGGAGCTACCAGAAAACTCCACATGGACGAGGGTTGAGCGACGGTTCAGCCGTCTGGACTGCGAAGCGTCGTCGTTTAACCCTTATGTTGAGAAGACGGCAAAATAGCCAAGACGAGCGAATCGTGGAAGCAGAGAGACAAAGATTTAGGGCCGAAGGGACCGTGCAGCGGAGCCGTGGCGCTGGCCAAGACGGCATCGCATGGCCATCACGATGGAACGCGCAATTGTTGTGTAACTTGTGTTCAGCTCTCATTTTATCTGATCATCAGATAAAGGATGAGTGGACAACGGTGGATAGCCTAGTTGACACTAAATCAGCCACTTGATGCGCGATGCCCCTCCTCGTCTCCCTCTCTCTTTTTTCATTCGTTTCGTTTTGGCAATGCTAGCCGACGTCGGAAAAGAATTTGTCGGGCTAGAACGCGTTGCGTGTTGCTGATCAATTTGCTTTGGGGAAATATGCTTGGCGGTAGCTGGATGCCGAGATTCGTCAATCGTGGAACTTGGCTGTGGACATCTGGAGGGTCTGGGCATACATACCGAGGTACTTGAGTTACGTAGAGCTGACAACTGCCAGCGGCTTCCTGGGTAAATCCACATCCACCAGGCCAGGCGGCTGACAGATCGAGGCACGGCGAATGGCTTTCCATGGCCATGGTAGATTGCATCTGCACGCGCAGTCATCATGCTGCGCAGGAGGACCACCCTGTCATGGCCGGCGTTGCATTCGTCGGGGCCACGAGCTTGGCGCGAGCAAGAATCTCCAAGTCGGAATCACAAGTAGGCTTTTTCCCCCTCTCCTTTTTCCGTGCCCCCAGAAAACATGGAAGAGACAAACCAGTGTCTACACTGATCCAACCTCGTGCGTCTTTTTAGACTTGGTGGAGACGGCCATCCGAAAACGGCTGGGGGGTTTTGGGCACCATCACCCGGTTCGAATTTACCCGTTAATTTGATGATTGGTCCGCGAAAATGGACGCTGTAGTTATCCGATGTGGGCATACCAATAGTTTGCAAAACGGCCATCTTTTTTTTCCCTCCCTCTTCTCTCTAGCTCAGTATGCTCTACGGGAAATCTCGGCCCCGAAGCCGGGACAGATGACGCCTCCAATCAATCCAACAAGTCGTTGCTGCATCTGATGTGTCTCCGGCTATGATGAATTCTTCGCCCCTTATTCTCTCCAACAGACCGCTCTTATTCAGTGCTATAAAGTAGCTAGCTTATACATGCTTCTTTTTACCTTGCATTTATTAAAATACCTGTAGCGGCAACGAGCCGACTGTCAAGGGAATAAGTATCGGGGGCTCTGGTTTCTTCGACTTTGCGGCACCGACTGTTTGCATAAAATTGTCTTGAGACTAAAAATTAGCAACCGAAGCCTCGTGGGCGTAAAGTAAATCCAACCAGCCTTATCAAAGAGAAATGGGCAGAGTCACCTGACTACATATAACTACCTAGGTACCTGGCTAGAGTCAAGTAGCACTGACTAACCTGACTGTCCGTACGCACAAGTCATTTCAAGTCATTGAGCAGACCACCTGCAGATTTTATGCCCAAGGCCAATGCCAGAGTAGGCAGGCCAGCAACGTCACGCAAGCTACGGCCGTGCAGCTGGCACCAGCTGTCAAGCCACGACTCACTCACAACCATCCTCATAGATGCCGGTGTGGCTATCAACTTCCACCGTTCGAACAGCAATGACATCAAAAACCACCGTGATTATCGGAGGCTTTGGGGGCAAAGGAGCCAGCTCGGCCGTTGCGACCTAGATTCGGACCGAGGCAATATCCAGGTCAAGATGATTGATTGGCGCCATCGCCAAGGATAGGTACGGTGAGAAGTTGGTTGTCCAACTAAACAAGAATGGTGTAGATGCTCCTGGTATTATAACAGTTCCGAACACACGCTCAAGCATCTATTTCGTCAAGGTCGACGACACGTCGCACAAGAACTGCTGTCTCTTCACCCGGGGTTTGTAAGAGCAACCTTGAAGAATCTCTTCAGCGCAGAGCAACGTGGAGGCGAGATTCAGCCAGATCTGGCGGTGTCTCAGATGGAGATCGAAAAGGAAGTGGTTGAGAGCACGAAGACTAGTATCGAGATTTGTCTCAACGCAGTGCCCGCAACCCCCAACTAGCAGACATTCCTACCGATATCTGGTGCATCTCCTCGTGGATGATTCAGCGGCAGCAATCATGTCAAGACGTGACAAAGACGACTCTATTCAAAATAATTGGCCTAGTATCGCCAAAGAATTTCTAAACCGTGGTGTAATCAACGTGGTTGCTACCACTTGGTGCCAAGGTGGCAGTCTACGCCAATGTAAACGGGAGTGGCCATTGTCCTGCACTTGACATCAAACTCAAGGATACTACTGGAGCAGGGTGCGTTCCCTTTTCGCCTGTTAATTGCTCTTGTGCACTTTCTTTTTGATTGCGTCAACCTAGGGACACTTCACAGGGTCGTACGCCTCGAGTTACCGGCGGTGAAAGGCTATAGCGACGTGGGACATCAAGAGCGCAGTTATTCGTGCTAATAAGGCTGCTGCTGTTAGGTTCGTAGCGTGGGAGCCCAAGATGGTATCACTTGGTCCGATGAGATTGACAATTTTTATGCGCCTGACAAATCTCTCGTTGAACTTGGTGGTGAGGCTTGATATGATTGCGCATCATGCGATCCAGACCATGTTTCTGGAGGCAGGGAGACCAGACCCTTTATGTGATCCCTTCATGTGATTCCAACCACTAGGCGACTGCGGAATAGATTCTGCATTCAGGAGTACTCCTGAGAGAGTCTTTCGTCAAAATTACCGACTTTTTCATGTTGGCTGATTCCCGAGCTGACTGTCGAGACACTGTACAGCCATGAGCGACAGTGGTTTCACATGGTTCGCTACATGATCCACGACAAAGTGGTACATTTGAGTCGACTGCACATCCATCTCACAAGATCACAGGGCAATACCAGCACAGTTGCACAAGCAATCTCGAACGGCAGCTTCCATGGACCTCTCTAAGTAGAACAACTAGTCCTCACACAAAACACCACTAAGCATCCTATCGCCTCTTCGGTTGTCCAAGTGGCAAGGGCCCGCCAATATCGCTGCTTGAGCTACACGTATCATACTGCCAAGCACAACTCGCCCGTAAGCAACAAGTAAGTCGGCCAAACTCAACTCCTGCTCCGTCTAGATCTCTTAGACTGCATCTCCTGTTTGCCGTTATGGCGCACCTTTCTTGCTACGCGCAGCATACTCAGTTCAGGAAAGGCTCATCCGCCCTTGTGTACTGAGTGGGTTAAAATTAGAAACAACCTACTAATGGAGTTTGGCCTTGTCCCATCTAGAGGGTTCCCTGCTGATTTAGATGATGCCAATTGAAGTACGCCTGGAAACTAAGCAGAGTGGAAGGGGGCCATTTCAGCCGCAATCAGGCCAAGTATCTATGTATGTAAGTCGATTTCAGCCGGGACTTACACTCGGTTCTGCATCGCGGAGAGCGAGTGCCAGAGACATAATAGCTTCGTTTTAACCCGCTATCTTGTGAGCGGCTCTTGGATGGCCGCATGAGGGTTTGTTGGCATAACGTGCAAGTCTCCCTGGCCTTGAGTTATGACGGAATTGGGAATGCTTGCAATTTCACCCTTTGTTTTGTTGCTCTAGTGTCTTCTACTTTTATATTTGAGAGCAACTTATAAAGATCCTGAAGATTCTCGATCAGGCGTTGGTTTTGAATCGGTCATTATCTTTGAATCAATCAGTTCTCTTCTTTCCCAACTTCAACCAAGCACTATTTTATACCCTTTTCGCTACTTTTTCAACATTAAGACCCTTGTTGTTGCCAACATACTGGCCATGACCGCCACTTTGGTCACAGCCTTCCCAGTCACCGCTGACTCTCTCAACTGCCGAGCCGAGCCCAACACCAGCTCCGCCGTCAAGGAGACGTATAAAAAGACCGACAACATCAAGATATCCTGCCAAACAGAAGGGACCCTCCGTCAACGGCAACTCCATCTGGGACAAGACCCAAGACGGCTGCTACGTCGCCGATTACTACGTCAAGGCCGGCTCCTCTGGCTACGTCACGGGCAAATGCGGCGGCGGCTCCAACCTTCCCACTTCCGACGATTTGTGCAAGACGCTCAACAAGTTTGGTACCGACCTCATCACCCGCTGGGAGGGCTTCGCCGATCGACCCAAGCCCGATCCCATCGGCCTACCCACCGTCGGCTACGGTCATCTGTGACAGAAGAACTGCGCCGAGGTCAAGTACAAGTTCCCGCTGACCAAGGCCACGGCTATCCAGCTTCTCAACGACGACCTGCCCAACTACACCAAATTCTTGGGCAAGGTACTCAACGCCAGCAAGGTTAAGTTCAACGACAATCAGTGGGCTGTCCTGACCTCCTGTGAAAAGGGCTTGATATCAATGGCTTGGAGCGAAATGACTCTATTCAAAGATAATCTTGTAGGATGTCAAATGTCCTTGATCTCCAAGGGAAAGGAAGGGACCAGTAACCACTATATATACATGAAAAGAACAGCTGTGCCCAAGGCCCCCAGCGGGTCATGTGTTCAGTCTGTGTGATCACGTAGGTCCTATATCGGCGATGCCCCTTTATTAGGCGTTGTTCTTGTTGTTGAGCTTTGACCGTGTAACACCTCCCGGGTGTTCAATGTCGGCTGTGGCGCTGCCCAGTCCTCAAATCTCGTCAAGCGGCTTAACAATGACGAGAATGCCAACACTGTTGCCTCTGAGGAACTGCCCAAGTGGAAGATGGGTAGTGGCAAGGTCCTGCCTGGCCTTGTCAAGCGTCGCTCTGACGGGGTCAAGCTTTTTAAGATTGCTTCAAGAAGGCTTTCTCTAAATGCCATTAATTCAAGTTGTGTCAACTAGAGTCTGTATATATCACGAGGCATGAAATCCCACCCTTGTACTACTCTTGCATTATGACTTGGCTGCACCTGATTCCATTTCTTAGACTAAATTGCACTACATGGCAAATTGTGCGTATGCGGCTGTGAATGTATTACATTTAGATCTAATTGAATTGTTGCCCGCTTTTACAGTGCTGTTTGATGTCGTTTGGTTCATTTCTGTAAACACAATGCGAAACATCATTCTCCTACTCGGCTCTGAGCTTTGTCGGTCGAGCCGGCCGTTTGGACTTGGAGTCTAGTTGTCAGAGTCCAAGAGGGCAAACTTATGAGCTAGGTATTGGGGATATCTTCTTGTGTAGTATTGGAGTTGAATTAATAAGAAACTGTAGTTAGTAAATAGATATTTGTAGGTGTAAAGCTTCATATTTGAGACTCGTGACATCGGGCCATATATCGCGATATAGGACGGTGTGTTTAAAGACACCAGTTGACACCTGTGGACATGTGGCCGTGATGTCGACCTTGTCGTAAGGCTGTCACAACGCTGCGTTACTATTCTCTTTGGCACTTCTCCTCGCACACCTCTGTGTGCGAATACTTGGAGCTATTCACTGGGGTTCTTGAATTGAAGGAAGTTGCAGTTAAAGCAGTTGGGTTGCACAACGACGCACGGAGTCGTTGTGGGGCCTTGTCACGGTTGGGCTACGGACCGAATTGGAGGTAGACTTGCTCCTTGACTGAATCTATCTTTCTAGGGAACCGAGACCTATTTATGGTTGAATATCGGAGAGGATACTTTTCGAGGTCGCAGCTAGTAAGCCTCTAATTTAAACCAGACCTTACAACCTGCTTGCCTCTAGATACAAGGCCCGATTGATGGTTCACTCGTTGTCAGGCCCTGACAAGGCGGAAAATCATTCGACCCGAAGCAACACATGTAGCCAAGACTTGATTGACTTCCGTTCTGCAGTCACGAATGGTCCTCGGCCGGTTCAATCAGCCCTGGGCACTTCCACATCATCGACGCCTGATGCTATGGACCGGCTCACTACAGAACCAAGGTCAAATCTACTGCACGACCAAGAACGAATATTGTCGTATCGTCCGGGCGGCTACCATCCTGTATGCTTAGGAGACACCTTCAAAAACAAGCGGTATAAAGTTGTTCACAAACTAGGATGGGGAGGGTTTTCTACCGTTTGGCTCGCTAGAGATACTTTGTAAGCTAGTTCAGAGCAAAGACTGATTTACCACACTGCTAATTTCGCAAGTCTCCAAACTTGGGCCGCTCTGAAGATCGAGAAAGCCGATACGCTCCGCCCTTTTGCCGAGCTCGTAAATCTACAATCGATTCGTCAAAACTGCGCCTCTGACCATTTTGTCCGATTTCTGGATTCTTTTGTTCACAAGGGGCCCAACGGATCTCACCAATGTGTCGTGACGGAGCTTCTCGGGCCATCGGTCGATCGCGTCGTCGCCGATTACCACGCGGGAGGGGAACGATTGGACGCCCAAGTCATACTTCATGTAACAAAACAGCTCCTTCAGGCCATCTATTCTCTTCATGAAGCCGGTTACGCGCATGGGGGTAAGTATCGTGCCTATCTATCAACCATGCCAGAGCTAAATACGTCTCAGACTTGAGCGGTGCCAATGTCGTTTTCACTGCCTCACTACTGCACCAGCTATCGGAAACGCGCTTCTAGACATCATTGGACACCCGAAAACAGCCGCCCTAGTTCACATCCATGACAGCCCCATAAGCCCCAGCATGCCAAAGCAGTTGGTGTGTAGTGTTGGTTGGGATGAATGGGTCGATGAAGACGAAGAGGGCATTCGTTTGATCGACTGGGGAGAATCATTTGAACATGGCAGGGAGCCCTCTCGACTCGCTCAACCCGGACAACTCAAAGCCCCGAAGACCATCTTTACCGGCCGTTTTGACCATAGAGTCGACCGCAGCAGTGGCAGGAAGAATGGAAACGTATGAGAAAGAGTGCCTCGCGCCCCTTGGTTGACACACTTCTGAATCAGACACCTAGGCTAGATTCAAGGTTTCAACAAACGGTAGAGGAGCCAAAAATGATGCCACTTTTGCCTATTATTCGCGGGTTAATGCGGTTTCTGCCCTCTGAGCGGCTGACGGCAGCCGAGGCGCTGAACCTATGGGACTAAAAATGCCAGAAGATGATGTATAACGCCGGGTGTTCTCCCTGGTTTCAATGCAAAATGTTTAGCCAGATGAGGCATTTAGCAGGAAATTCGCAGCGGGGTAATTATGGGCGAGCCTGCGAGTACATAGTTGGGCATTGCTATGTGAGTTGAGAGGCGCAGAGGTTGACGTCAATAGAAAGGATGCGCTATTATTCCGACTAACCGAGCACCGGGTATATTATTAGGATGCTTTGGTAGTAGGCTTTTTTCAGACCCCAGCAAGCAACTGGGGCAACCGCTTGATCTATGTCGTTGCTGTGTTATCCTGAAGCCAGCTGTGACGGCCCCTCGTCTTAGCACACCCAAGTTCCAATTTACTTAAGCCTGCCAACATCATATCCACGCTAGCTGATATAATGACATGCGAGGGAAAGTAGTACTTGATAATTCTATGTCATGGCAGTGTTTCACTATTTTGATGATTAAACTATAACTTTGAAAAACGAATTGCTACTTTGGAGAACCATGACTAGATGGGCTGTCTTTCGGCTCATCCGTTGCTACCAATAACAAGTTCAAGTTAATGAGTTATATCTACCTTACTGGAAATCATAATCTAAGAAGATGAGGGTGGAGGTGGAATAGCGGTGACTGAGCCTTAGACCTTGCACATTGAATAAAAGGCGACAGCAGTCATTTCCGCGTGGAAGTAGGCTCAGCGCTTTGGTAAAGTTGCACTCCATGTTCCTTTCAAACTTAAATTACGTCGAGGCGGTTTGTTATATTAACAGAGGCTACATTACGATACGATTGAATCGTACATACATACGTTGGTAGTTGTCCATCTTGGCTCTTTAAAGGCTCTCCTTTGGGCCAAGTAAACCCACATCCGTCTCCCTCGTCCAATAGCTACGGGGAAATGGCGTGCTAGATGAATTCAGTTCAGTTAGATAAGATCCTGTCAGAAGGCAGTACAAGAACCCCTGGCCATTAACTCCCCTGAATGCTGGTTTGGAGCTGTGTTTGACAGATGGTTTTTCACGGCAGCATTCTAATTACAGCCCGTTTCAAAAGCCCAGAAGGCACGCTCACCACTTGGCCGAGCATTGGGGATACTCGGCTGTGGGCCAGCATTTCTATGACTCAATGGTCAAGCCCAACATCCACCGTGATGGCCCGTCGGGAAGATTTGCAAGGTGGATATGCATCTCCTAAAAATACTGCGCGTGTGGTTCGGGTTCCCGTTTTGGTGGCAGTGCGACCTGTAACAAGAGAGGCATTGATCTCCTGAAATGACCCCCCAAAGCCCTTGCAGGCTGTTAATAGCTGCCAAAGGCCCTGACATGTCATGAATGGACTGACGTCTCCCACTTGCATGGTTGCGTGTTCAGACGACACGATTCTTCCATCTTGAACCGTTTCTGAATTTTAAGTGTATTCTTGTATACTACTACGCCATGTTTCGTTGAATTACCGAGAGACAATCACATTATCGGATTTTGCAAGGCAAAACCTGATGAGAAGCCTGCTTTTTGTTTTTCTGTGCGCCCAAACCGCGGGTCTTTTTGTGACACTGCGTGATGAGGATATGTCTTTGCCAAGCAGCAGCTAGTCTTGGCTCAGGATCTCTTAACCGCATGCCAACAGGATGTACTACACCGGAAATAACACGGGAAATACGCCGGGGAACCCACCTTCCCCGTGTTACTGCAAGTGTCTCTACCAGCATCAACTTGACTCCTTGGGAAAATCTAACCACTCGCAGGGTGGGAGGCAGGAGCCATGTTTGGGCAATGATTGATTATTGGTACATGACAGGAGACACATCCTATAACGCGGCCACGAGCAGAGCATTGACAAGAAAACTACATTTTCAATTTTTGAAAAAGCTTAAATATTTAATAATAAATTAAATAAAATACTTAAATTATAATAATAAATACATAATTAGCTAATATTATAACCAATTAGCTTACGTAAAAAGTGGGTCCTTTTAACTCCTAATAAGCTATTAAATTAAATTGTTCTAGGCTTATAAGAGCTTATAAGGACCCACTTTTTTATATTAGCTTATAGTATAAAATTCATGCTATTTATCCGTAGAACTTATAATCTTATAAGTATTTTATTAGATTTAATATTATTTATTATATGAAAAACTACAAAAACTACAAAACTACAAAACTACACTACTTCCAATGCTCTGGCCACGAGTCAGGCCATGATCCATCAAGGAAGCCCAACCCGCGATTTTATGCCAATCAACCAAACAAGAACCGAGGGCAGCCATGATCAAGGCTTTGGGCCAATGACATCAAAGAGTGCCGCCGAGAACAAGTATCCGGATCCGCCGCCGGTTAAACCCGGGTGGCTCGAGCTGACCCAGGCCGTCTTTAATCATTCTGTCGCCCGTTGGGACAAGGAGAACTGTGACGGGGGCCTGCATTGGCAGATATTTACTTTTAACGCGGGCTACAACTACAAAAACTCCATCTCGAACGGCTGCTTCTTCAATATTGCCTCCCGACTGGCGAGATACACCGGCAACAGCACCTACGCCGACTGGGCGACTGTAATATTCAAATGGGAGCAGAAAGCCGGCCTTGTTACAAAAGTATTCGCCGTATTGGATGGCATACATACATGGAGGTGGGAAATGCGTCAACCGCACCGACACACAATGGTCTTACAATGCGGGTATTTTTCTTCAAGGCGCGGCCGTCATGTGCAACTTGACCAGGAGCGATGTTTGGAAAACTTGGACGGACGGTCTTGTCAAGCAACCGCTAAAAGAATTTGTCAAGGACGGCGTCATCTTCAAGCCTGCCCGGGAGCCAGCAAGAGGCTGCGATTTGAACGGGTCTTCTTTTAAAGGGTACTCTATACGCTGGCTTGTTTCGACAATCAAGATGGCTCCTCACATAACTGATACCATATACCCCATCATGCAGGCGACTGCGACAGCTGCCGCCCTGGCATGCTCTGAGTCAGACGCTTCTTTCAGGGGGCTTCCAGGGACAGCTTGCGGGTTTTATGGACAGATAAACGCAGGTTTGAAGGACTCGTCGGTGCTGGGCAACAAATGTGCGCTCTCGATGCCGTCATGTACACTCTCTTAGACAAGGTTGACGCTGCAGTAACGCACGATACCGGCGGCACGTCTCAGGGAAATCCGTCTGCCCGAGGGGAATCCGATGGCTGCGATTATTACACTTATTCCTGTTGGCATTGGCAGTGGGGGCTCTGCGTTTATGCTGTGGGATGAAGACCTCTGAGCGTGCTACGTGTGAATGGTATTTTAGTAGATACCCCGACTAAGCTGCGAAGTGATTTGGAAGAAGAATGATTAGACGCATATGAATGAGCGTCTGTAGGCTGTTACCGGCGTTATTCTAGTGCAGTCTGCAAGACCAAGGTATGCTAATCTCGATCCTCCGACGGGCCGCGGCAACATGTCAGTCAATGTCCATTTCATGAGTGCTGGGCATGGAGGAAGCCTTAAGAATGGCGAAAAACGCAAGTCAATGCTTCTCATGGTGTTGGAGTAGTTGAGAGTTGGAGCACGCATCAGAACATACAACAGGAATCCATGACGGCAATAAGAAACAACCGAAACCCAAGACTCAGGCCGAACGAGTAAAACACGACCAGCGTATGAGCACACGCTTCGAAAAACACACACATGCCCATTGACGCCACTGATCGTCTCTTGGCTGGCCTTCCCGCAACTCGCTCCTTCGACTTCGCGCTATATTACGTATAGTACTCAGGGGCGTAGAGACCAAATTGCCTATTCGAAACAAACCTGATAATAAGCTAGCAGAAAAAAACAACCACTGGCTCTTCCTAAAGTATCAAAGGGCTTTTGCAATTCTTTCATGTAGGAAACTGCAGGAATCCAAGGATGTGAGTGATTCCTCGAATTGGGGTCTACTTTTTGACCGTGATATTTCGACGCAAAATTCAGACTATTTCAGGAGGTAGCTTGATTTATATACATAAAATATAAAGAGTTTAGTGAATGATTCATAATTTCATAGATCCCTATGAAGAACCTCGAAAATGCCTAGAAAAGGTGAGTAGTAGAGGTGTCTGTAGTAATTAACCATACACAGGGTTAGGGTTATGTACAAGGCGGTGGGAATCCCGAGACAAATACTTGTGGGACGACGGGTAACATCCCTCTCTGCCTTGAAATTAGTGACGCTTGTACTGCATTATATTAAAAATTAGGGTTAAAAAATCAACCCCAATCGCGGAATCATCCTAAGACCAAATGGAAAAAGATTACGCTCACATAGGTGTGTAGTGGCAAGATGCTACACAAGCGAGGCAGAAAACCGCAAAAAATTGACCGAGACAGGGGTCGAACCTGCGACCTTCTGATTACAGGAAACTTAACTTGTAGTTAATCGTAGTCAGACGCTCTGCCATTGAGCTACACGGCCTTTAGCATGATTGGATCTCAATGAATAATTGGATTCATCATCCATTATATATCTAGAGTAAGTGAATTTTGGGCTGCATTAGCTGGTTGAGTTGGCTAACTGGCTCACGGTTTCCGTTGGATTTTAGCTTTGGAGTGAAATTGCAAGATTGTGCTAGCTATAATGATTACGATGTGGGAAGACGACGTCGACGGCTCGGGGTTACCGTTATTATCCATCAACCTGATGGACATGTTGTGAATGTGTGCCCGCACCATCTCCCAGCGTGATCCCGAGACTGCTCAAACCAATATCTTGATGGTCGAAGAGCCTGCGGAAAAGTTTCCTCGGGTCTGGGCGCGCGTTAATACACATATGAAGCGATATACAAGCATCGCCCGCAGTCGGAGTTCATCGCCGAATGGTTCGCTCATGATGATGCGGAATGTGACCCCTTCTTCACGGTTTCCAAGAAAAATGGACGCCCAGCTGAAAAGCAGAAGATGACAAGAATTTTGGGTCGCTACAAGTCATCAGGTGGCTCGTCGTCCAGGCAGCCGGAGCAATACATGTGAGGCGATCCTTTGGTCGTGACCTCCCGCCTCGACCAGTTCAAGCATACCTCACCCAGGTAAACGACACACACGAGCTCAATTTAGCCGCAACAAATCAGTCAACATGGGCAAAGAAAATGCGAAGGAAGTTGTGTTGTAACTCAGCAAGCTTTGTCGCACGATTCTTTACGTCAGTATCAGACGCTTCTCAACCTTGGGATCTTTGCTTGAAATGACTCCCATTTCCTATTGTTACGCTCGTGAGTGTACCAACAGCGTTTGTTGAGCCCATTTTTCCGTGGTTGGAAACTGCTGTAGATGTACTGTCGGAGTGGTTATCGGGTTTGGCCGCGGAGCCATGGAGCAAAAAGAATCTAGTGATACCGCTCCATGGCGGAGCAACCCCGATATCCAGCTTATAAGTGTGCCCTCTTGGCTCTTCTCTCTCTGTGGCCTCCTACGTATATGCCAAATTCCTGAGTGTCAATGGTCAAGTCTGTATTGGAATGAGATAGCCTTTGCAGCTACTGCTTGAAGGAGCAAGACTTGGAATTTATCTAAAAACAATACCGCTATTACCGAAGCGTCATCAGGTAGATGACATTCCCGGTTCATGTTGGTGCTGTGCTGTCTAATACTATATATTACTATCATAAGATCTTGTATGCGGATATCAGGCATACCGCTAGAGCATCGGCTCTTCCAAATCTTCGAATCCGCCTCTCTAGAATCAGCTCTAGAGCTCTACCAAGAGCATGGCCTATTCCTACTTGGGAACTTAGTACAGGGAGTCAGACTGACTAGCCTTGTGGCTTAACTGATGTTTCGAAACCAATGCTGATTCATCGTTTCCCATGTTTTGCGACTCATAATTCACACTCGAGGTATCGACATGAAAGGATCTCGTGAGCATAATTTCGTTATTGTGCGACTGCGGGTTGTTGGAGCTGGCCCGTCCGTAACCGCTTTGTTTCACATAGGATGAACCCCGGGTCTTTTGAATGTAGAGTGCCGACACGGCCGGTAAACAAGCACAAATTAGTCCAATGCCAACCTCGGCGTTGCTGCGAATCAAGTCAGCGCAGCGAAATTTGCAAAAGGCGTTGGATTTCTCTGCTCACCCAGACAAAATAACTTTGACAAACACAATCGTTTGATTGGCGCTGTTGCGCTCAGTCACAATCAGTATTAAGCGATATATACCGAAGGCTGTGGCGATGCCCCCCGCGCAAAGGATGCCGCTGACGCGTAGCCTCTTTCTCCTTGGCAGTTGAAGAGACCAGGTGAGCGGCGTGGGCAGTAGAAGGATGGTCAAATCGCTAATGACGCTGATGATTGCGTCCGAGGTAATAATGGCGGATTGGTTGAGGCATTTGTCCCGCTCCCCTCTCCAGTACGCGGATATCGGCCGGCAGATGAAGAGTTTGATGAAGAAGCCGGAGCCGTAGTAGGCAACGAGCATCCCGATGAGAACATATACGCCTATCAAGGTCTTCTTGTGAACCGTGCCGAAGACTCTGATGATGATGACGAGCAAGGCCAGCTTGACTGCCAACGTCATGGGGGCATAGAAAAGGGTAGCTGCATAGCCGGACTGCTTGGGTGTCAGGAAAAGTCAATAGCAGGTGGTTTCTGAGGCTTTTCGTCGCACCTGAAAGAAGGGCTGAATGTCTTCCCTGCGCACTTCCCACTGGTTTAGCCCGCCGCCGTGCATCGACGCTGCGAGGTTGTATTAGCCTTTGGTCCGAATCTCGCTCTTTACATGGCTACTTACCGAACACGCCGGTGATGCAATACCCCACCATCAATGCCTAGGTACATGTATGAGTGATCGAGGTTGCACGGGGGGCTCTTTCCGTACTAACGTATGCGATGTACGTTGCATCTGTCCGACGAGGGTCAGCGTGTTGTCGTGATTGTCACACGGAGGCTATACACTCACAGTCATCCATCGTGACGCCTCCACCCAGTATCCTCGATTTGGCATACAAGCGAGCCAGGACAAAGACCGTCGTGAAAATGAGGGTCAAGGCTTGCGTGACATAGTTGACTGTTCTCAACACGTCTTGAGGATTGTCGAGGTCGGCCGTTGCGCCCGGTGGCGGCGGAGCTGCGCCGGGATAGCTCATTTTTGCCCGCCCGAGGGGTTTGAACTTTGGCCAATGTCGGGACGAAATAATGTTGCGAAGGATTTGCTTCAGCGTCTTTGGTCGAAGAATGGTGGGATGCTTGGCGAAACGTCTTTGAACGAAGGAGTTCATGAATAGGTCGCAGAAGGCACACGATCCTTGGTTCGACCAAGGCGTGTGAGTGCAGTTTCGGGGGGCAACAACTGAAGTCGCATGATCCCCCAGATTATCGCAAGACAGGATGAAATGTTTCTTGCCCTCCAGGCAGAAATTTGAGGCCACGCCGGGGAATTCATATGGCAGTCGCGGAACGTTTGCCGCCCCTAGTGCTCAACGCGAAACCCGCTTCCAGAAACGTGGTCGCTACAAGCTTCATTCGGCTGATATCGTACGGCGTGTATGAGAGTAGTATATCCCTCCCCCCCCATGTTTATGCTGCATTATCGCATGTGCCGTGGCCCACCTCCTTTCATGCTTTCCGGCCACGATGCTTGGTGAAGACACGCCAACCCCTGCTCTTAAGGCAGGGGCAAACGTAAAAGAAACTGCGCTCTGCACCATGATAGCCATGCAAGGCATTCATTGCGCAGGCTACATGTGCCGGTTCTCCGGTGAAGGTTCACCGAGGCAGACTGGAACATGCGACTCTCCCCTGGTCAAAGAGGGCAGAAGAGTCATCTGCTCGAAAAGTTGAAATGAACTTTTCATGGCAACATCAAAGCTAAACTTTGATCCACTTGCGCGACTTTCCCACTAGCGGTTAAAAAAAAAAAAAAAAAAAAAAAAAGTCCACGACACCGTCGGAGCCGACACACATGCTCCATGACATCGGGGGTTGAAGACGACTTGGGACCACAAAGATACTGCAAACACGAGACTTCCCCGACGCCCAGCTAGAATGGCATAGGGTGGGGAGTTTGGTTTCGTTATGGATATGATGCGGACACGTTTCACCTCATTCCCTGATATGTCCCCATGAATGGCTGTTTAGTGCCCGCGCACCGCTCGTCTTGACAACGGATGCCGACATGGATGGTAGAGATTGCAAATTGAAAATGCCTTCCCATTGGTTTCTAACCATCAGCCCTTTGTTTAGCGTCTCACTGCCCCGGCGCAAAACTGGGTCGGGTGCTTTGGATTGAGTCCACCAGAGATAGTTGCCTTGAAGTTCTGGCAGTTTTGCACTGCTGATACAGTCTGTGGCAGACTATAGGCTATTCGTTTGGTCAGAGCTAGCACTTTGCCTGCATGAAAAGAGGTCAAATGTCATATATCACGCAATGTGCTCCCCCTATTTCAAGCCAACTACCTGGCAACCTCCAGAGAATCCGCAGGGCTGCCGTTTATTTCTCGGATCAACAAGATGGGCAAACTCGTCAACACTCACTGGGATTCAGAGCTGTTCAAGCCTTTGAAGATTGCAAATGGCAAGATTGAATTAAAGCACCGGGTTGTTCACGCACCCCTCACTCGCAACCGGGGAACTCCCCTTCTCGATTCGACACCCGAGAAACCGAACCGTGTCTGGGTCCCAAACGAGCATGTCGTTGACTACTATTCCCGGCGAGCCACCGTGGGTGGGTTGATAATTTCGGAAGGCCTGCCGCCCTCACTCGAGGTGATACTCCCGGATAACGCAGTGCCTGATTCGCCGAATGACAACCTAACTTGGCTTGTAGGGAAATGCCATGCCCGGCGTCCCTGGGCTGTTTCTCAAAGAGCAGGCCGAAGGATGGAAGAGGGTAGTCGACGCCGTCCATGCCAAAGGGGCCTACATCTACGCGCAACTCTGGCACTCGGGCCGGGCCAATATTCCCCAGTTGACCGGCACACCCATTGTCGCGCCGTCGAGCGTGCCATGGGACGACCCAAACGAGTATTTCCCTTATCCTCCGCCTCACACCACGGCCCAGGTCAAACTCGCCGACCACCCGCCGATTGAGCTCACTCAGCATCACATCGCGCGAACCATCGGCGACTTCTGCGCCTCGGCAAGAACGGCCATGGAGATTGGGTTCGACGGCGTAGAGCTCCATGGCGGCAATGGCTACTTGCCAGAGCAGTTTCTGAGCTCCAATGCTAACAAGCGGACGGACGAATACGGCGGAACGCCAGAAAAGCGGTGCAAGTTCGTCGTCGACTTGATGGGAGAGCTAGCAAAGACGGTTGGCGAGGAAAACCTTGCCATTAGACTGACGCCCTTTGGTCTGTTCAACCAAGCCCGTGGTTCACAGAGAGTCGAGACATGGAGCCACCTTTGCAAAGAGCTCAAGCGACGACACCCGAGCCTTTCATACGTCAGCTTCGTCGAGCCGCGATACGAGCAGGTCTTTTCAGAGGAGGAGAAGCAAAAGTTTCTCGACTCTTGGGGTTTGCCCAATGTAGACCTGTCGACATTTAGGGCCATCTGGGGCAGCACACCATTCTTCTCTGCTGGCGGATTTGATGACAAGAACTCATGGGGCCTGATTGAAAGCGGACGATACGATGGGCTGCTCTACGGGCGGTATTTTATTAGCAATCCTGATCTCGTCACCAGACTGCGCGATGGTCTGCCCCTGGCGCCCTACGATCGATCCAAGTTCTATGGGCCGTTTCCTGACCCTGCAGCCGGATATACCGACTATCCGGCATATCAAAATGGCACGGCGTAGAATCACTTTGATGGAATGACATGAATGAACTGTGAGAAGTCGGCCTAGCAAAGACGCAGTGTGTATTGATGTTGCCGATTCCAGCCGAGTCTCAAGAAACCAGGGCTCAAGATTTGCGCTGTACCCTTGATATCCGAGGGCGTTGTGTAGAGTCTTTGGTTATTGATGAATTACACTTTTGACGATGTACCCCATTTCGCGTCCCTCGTATAGCTGCTCGTTTGGTCCCGTATGGAGCAAATTATGGAGTACAATCCGCCATTGTGACGTAACTCATGGAGTCGGACGATGGTAACGAATGGCTTGATCCATGGAACCAAGCCGGTTAGCCAAGATGGAGCACCAATACCTCCCGTTATCAAATAAGCTTGGCGAGGCTCTGCTCAGAGTCGGTTCTCAGCCCAGTAAAATATTGAATTCACGTCCAACTCACCACAACGTTAGTTGAAGCCGTTTGTATGCAGGAGATGTACAAAAGAGACGCTTGGCTGCGTGACTACTGCGTTTTGTGGGAGGCGGCAAACTCTTTGATTTCGACCTACCTGTCCACGCCGGGTATTATAGTATCCGAAGGAGCCATTTCATTGTTACAAAACAAAGACATTTTGTTGGCCATTGTTGACCAAAGTCTGATGCCCTCAAGTATGTCAGGTCTTAATCCATAAAGAAGCCAACACACAGCTCGACAAACACATCTCATGGACTCGTGAGTAATTCCAAAACTTTCACAAGAGTCGAAAAAAGAGAGGGTACAATTCACATTGGTTATATTAGTGCCTAATAGCAAAAGCAAACGACGCCTTTATAATGGGCCATGTCTGATATTTCACCCAGTCCAAGGTCAGAGAGCGTGGACTGCTGCTACATAGTTTACTCGGGGCTTTTCATCGGTCACAAAACTCGACCTCTGTGCAACACATTCGCCGTACCCACCACTGGCGCAGTACTTCTTCGCCAAACCGGTGGCCGATAGTTGCTCATCTCCTATAAGTGGAGCAGAGGAGGCCGTGATGGCGAGAAGTGCCTGCCACAAGGTTGGCGATTGGCACAGAACTCCTGAGCAAAGAACACTGCCGACATACTAGGACGCAGCTAACCGAAGTCTTTATGATGTGTAGAATTCATGTATAATGTATGTGTAAAGTGTCTATCTTTAGGTATGTGGTGGTTTCTGTTTGAAAAACAAAAATTGCAAACTATCAAGCGACAAATCGCAATTTTATATATTCAAAGGGCCGACACTGGTACAAGCTCGGGGTGGAGATTTGTGCGTGATTTATTGTATATTCTCTGATATTGCCTGTGGTCTTTGTTGGGGAAGAAAGGGGGGAAGGATTTCCGGGGTAAGGTTACAATAGACTCTACGTACAAGGCAGTTGCCGAAATAAGCGAAACCTAGCGAAGCCCAGTTAATGGTGGAGTTGAGTGGAGTATCGGAGGGACGTCGACGCTGCTGGCTCTTGGAGTTGATGGAAGATAAACGTAGTCGAGAGGTTCTTTAGATATCTGCAACTCTTGGCCAGTGGTACGCTCATTATTGGAGAGCAGAGCAGTGAGTATATCGAGTAGCCCTTTCAGATCTATGCTCGGAGGGTAGTGGCAACGGACAAATAGCCTACCACAGGGTCATTGGTAATGGACAGATGTTGACTAAAATTCCACCGCGACACCATGTAAGACGAGCGGCACGGACAGGGGCTTTCCGTGAGTTGTGAGACATGCTGGCTCATTTACAACGCGTAATCCGACAACTAGGAGTTAATGCTACTCTATGGTAGGAGTTGACGACATAAAAGGATTGCATACATGGGGACTCGAGAGGTTTGGCGATAGTCAAATGGCTATGTGCGGTGGAGTACGGGTGCGCTTTGAAGGCCTCGGAGGTGCGATAGGCGCGCCCTTTAGTATGCGCGTGTTCAAACTGAGGAGAGCCTTATTCTCGTCTTAGCTGAACTCTCACGGGGTTCGCGGCAGAAAGGTTGTCAGATTGGAATATGAGAGAATGACAACAAGTTCTTTTTCCACCATTATCTATCAAGTCAACGTGTCTTTGCTGATGAGTTTGAATAGAGTTACCCACACTATAGGATATTGAAGTTTCATATCACTGTTGCCCAGTAGTATTGAGAGGCACCCGCTATTGGCCGGTCGAGCTGAAACTCTAATATCGAATCTCGTGCAACAACCAAAGCTTACCCCGAATGTTTGTCGCTCATACTGCAATCGAGTTCGTCAGCATGAGGGTACCGCCAACTGTGACAAGGGCTCGATGAAGGGCTTGAAGCATTCAATGATAATCTCGTAGGATGTCAAAGGTCCTCGGTTTCCTCAAGCCTCGAGGAGAGGGAAGACCATCTTATACACATGAAAGGAACGGCCCGTGCCTAGTGCGCCCCATAGTTCTCGTGATCCTGTTGTGTAATAAAGGGCTTCTAATCCTTACTTGACCTAATCCGTGTGACACCAACAACAATCAACCAACTTATCAACCATGGACCAGTTTGATTCATCCTGTCATTCGCGTCCTTTCTCATGTTTTCAACTCGTCCTTGGAGCTCGACGAGTAGCTGACGCATCTCGTCATATTTTGTGTTCTCCAACTTTGCCGCAATATCCCCCAGGCCGGTCCATGGATTTCTGCCAGCCTTCGCCCTACAAGTAGCCGTTAGTATCAGCTTGGTGCTAAAGGATCAAATTTTATGAACTATAAACTGGCTAGGGACCTTAGCATTGTCGCCCTCTTTTGGTCCTCTATCGATTGTAAATTGCTAATTGACCCCTTGCGATCCTTAAGAACCTTGCCAAACAGCTCCTGGGGAGAAACTAAAGCCTCAAGCAAAACATGCAACAAACTTTCATAACCGGAATTCTGACGTATACACATGCACAAGTCATTATTAAAAACAAATAATTCATTTGACTTGGGATACTCGGCGAAACTCTGCCAAGAGCGATTTGTCAAAAAATTATGTCGGTGTATCGAAACCAGTCGAGCATCTATAGTATCAACTCTGTACGCAGAAGGCAATCGAGTACCCCGGGCCGGTTGCCATCAGAAGCAACTGGTTTCTATTCCTGCCTGGGATTCCTTAAACTTTGTTTCTAATCGATCCCGCATCCCTTGTTACACGGAGGTCACGTCGTAAAGGCACGGGCCGACCCTTGAGCCTGACGATAGGTACACAAGGGCTCGAGACCTAGTTGAAGCCTCGGGCTCAAGGCTCGCTTTCTCACCGCCGCTTTTGTATAAATAAAAGTCATCCAGTCCCAGCGGTCTGAAGAAACTCAAGGATCTTTAAAATTAAAGCCAATTATTAGCTGAATATGAATATTGTTCCAAGCCCTTATATAAACCCTTGCCACATCCCTCGTGCAGCCTTATTATCACGACTGAAAGCTATGGATCGCATTGAATGCGCACTTGGTCCTTGACTGAATCCATCTATCGAGGGCATTGAAGCCAAGCCCCTTTTTTTTAGTTAAAATCGGAAGACATCGAAAAGGCCGCCTTTCAATAGAAAAGGCCCTAATTGAATCTCTTTATCTAGCTAGTCTAGCCGGAATTCCTAGATGACGAGTCCCTGTTAGATTACGCATTCAATGACCTGGGTTGCTTATCCGTTGACACTTATTCTGGTTCCCTGACCGGGCTCTCGGTGCATGGATGCGCCCGTCTGTCCATTTTCGCGACAGACCTGATGGAAATTTCATGTCTGTTTCCAAAGAGCCATGTCCCGCTACAAACTAAGCTAAAGAGTGAGTGCAATCAATTTGGAACACGGCAGTTAGGTATCAGTGCGGCAGTCCATCCAATGACATCGTCGCCGATATTGAATTGTGGTTACACAATCATGCAAGCCGTCCGTAATGCCCAAAGAGCGGGGTAGCAATACATGGGAAACGCTTCGTCTGCTACAGCATCTTTGAACTCGGCCGTATTGTGCTGCAGTAAACATAGACGCTCGGCGTGAGACGCGTTTATCATGCTCGGCCCTCACATTCCCCGGAGGCATAGTGCCGCCGGGGGCAGTCCGTCTTCTCCCGAGCTGATGGGACGCATCATGTGGCTGCCGACAAAGGAAATCATGGATTTGGGCTTCGAAAACGGCGTTTACAACCACCCTGTCGTTGTTCTATCGCCCATGCTGAATGCCGGCGAGGTCGACTTTTTTTCGGCAAGTTGTGCTTCGTCCTGGGCTGGGAAGCCGGTCTTGTTAACTCATGGCGCCAACAGTTGACTTCGTTTGGAGGAACCAGCCTCCTGGACAAATTTCCCACCGAAAAGAAAGCCAGAGGCCGTTACCTGCCGATCAAGCCCTGTGCTCCTCATCCCGACAACAAGATATTGCTCGAGCTGTGTGAAGCAGAAGATAGGCTGACTAAAGACTCGTACATACACATCAGAAGGGTTCTCAGAGCCAAACTGAAGGCACTACGGCCTTATGTATCCCACCGGCTCCGGAACCCGTATCTCTCAGACAATTCATACCGTCAGCTCATCCAGTACGCTCAGTATTCAGTTCCCGACCAGTTGCCTCGCAGTATTGCTATTGGCGATTTGACTTTAGTAATGCCTCCCTCGCAAATTGCAACAAGGGCTCCGCGGTCGCGGTACGATGTTCCGGAACGGTCTTTTTACGGCGGGATATCATCGCCGGAGTACGTGCAGAGATCTTTTTCGTATTCTCAGACGAGTATCACACGACCGGCGCGGTACAATGAGCGAACACCTTTGTTGCCTTCTCCTCAGCCTGCAAATCCTCCGCGGCCAGCCCTCACAAGGCGAATTTGGGAACGGAATACTTCCCCAAGGTACTCACAAAGACGGTCGACAGACTGGGTCAAGGTCTTTGGGTTCTTGTGGGCGATGGTGATAATCATTGCAGCATGCTACGGAATATATTGGGTCGCTGAGCACTTGGCTCAGCTGGTGTCGGCATGTCGGCCCTGGCTACAACACGCTGTCACCCACATGGTAGCGGCCATAAAAAATTGGTTCGGGAATCTGCTGGGTCACGCGGAGCTCATATAGAGCATAGGCTGTCCAAAGTACGCTTTTGTGCAGCCCTCACCTGCGGAAGCCTACGTGTCCATGCACCGGGTGTGCCTCGGCGAGCATGGGAAGAAATGCAAGCTGTATTCTGACGCTTTTGCAGAGGCTACCAAAGCAGGATGGTTGTTACGGCAAGAGGGGAGATTGAGAGTGATATCAGGTGCCTGTTGTTTATTACAGGATATTGCAGCTGGGACCGTACTATTTTGGGCCTAATTATGAGCCTTAATACATGAGCCCTAAACTATCAAACAATTAAAACAGATCGTTTGAGAAGGATGGTTTGTTGGCGGTGACGCTGCTGGGCTCCCAATGGGCATCTCAAATAAAACCGTGGTTCAAATGTGACGACTAAGAGGCCTAAATTCAAGGGTTTTCAAGTTTGACGAGAAGATGCGTGTCTCCACACCTTATACAACATAGAATGAGTCAAAAGTACTTCTTTCAATATCGAGTTACCTATGGACCAAGGCATGCATAACATGACGTTGACAATAGAACGGATATCGCATTGCTGGCCTGCGACACACAGAGGTTGGCATCGACAGAGGAAGAGAATGGGGAGCATGTTGGCGTGCGGCCGGCAGCGAAAGAGCTGCAACGGAATCTCGGGGTTATTCACCGTGACATGACCAATTGGAAAGCCACTCATGAAGCGACAAAAAGGGTGGGAAAACGAAAAGACGATTGGACGGCACCCTTGCTAGTTGCAATAGTGCTGGATACTGTTTCCGCCAAAATATCTGTAGGAAGCTCTCGGATCTCACACGGCAGCATGTTTTCACTAAGAGTCTACCACGGCGTTATTAGCATGTAGCTCGTGCAAAAAACCCGGCATCTACGTCCTTGGCAAAGCTAGAATGAGGCAGGTGATGCAAGTAGCAATCAACAAGGAACGTGTGACGTCGGACTTGTTCAGTACTGCTAATACTTGGCTCCAATAAAGAGCCCCTGGAATCCAAGGTCACCAGCGATTGTCATCAGGGAAGCCATTAAACATGTCAGTAACAGTGACACTTGGATATCGAACATCCAACGCCACCCCATACACTCAGCCATGAAACCACCCAACGCGGCGCCCATGGAACAGCCCAGGCCATGGGTCATGTTACTGTAAGCCCTGGTAGTAACCACCGAAAGTTTCATGGTTACCCTCTTCAAGGTTCTGGAGTGCCCTGAGTCGTCCTCGATTGCATTCCAAAGCCGTCTTGTGATACCGTGCGCGAACCGACCTCTTCTCATCTGTATATTCTGCCTGTATTTCTTACGTCCCAGAATGAGGCTATTTCGCAGCATTTTCAGTGTTAAGAATCCGCATCACCACCATCCACAAGCACGCCTCGCTCCCTCAGCAACCCAATAGTCTCTGCCGTCCATTCCTGACATCGCCGAACAGGATACGCCGTGATTTTTCGAGCACCCTCGAATTGCTTCTCCGGGGCAGGATTAGATCTGCAAATTACATCGATGCGCGGTATGTCGTTCGCGGAAATCCATCCTAGCCTCGTCTGTCCGTGATAAGAAGGGTCACTGTCTGGTGCGGCGTCCGTGGCCTTCATTTCGTATCTCATCCCTTGTTGGATATTACCGGTAACTTGGAATATGTAGCCGCCACCGCCGCGTGAAGTCTCGACGAAAATGGCATGGTGGCTTCTTGGGAACCCGAGGGATTCAACAAGGAAGAGGCGAAGGGACATGGTGGACGAAAGCAATCAAGAACGAAAGAATATATTGCGGCGATGGCGTCAGTTTAATATTGTGGCGGTTCTCGGAACGGGAGTCGGAAGTCGAGCACGGAATGGCCCCAAAGCGGTAATTTGGCGACAGGAATGCGGGGCTGCCCATGGGGCTCAACGGCCCGGGATCCGGATCCGAGGTGACGAAGGTCACAGCGTGGCTTGCTGGGATATAGGACGCCTAGAAGATGCAAAGAAGGCCGTGTGCCGGTGGCATGGTAAGACAATCAAGATTCAAGCTTATTTTTTGGCCTTTTCCTGGGGCGGATTTGGACGCAGATATGGGTTGTGGCCACGCAGCATGGGCGAGACAACGACGCATGAGTTTTGGACTGCTTCTCCATGGACTGAAGGGGAGCGGGCCGTCGGCGTACCAATGGCGTCATAATGAGTGGCTGGCGAACGCCTGGCGAGCCGCCTCGTCGCCGTAGGACGATTTTGATCGGCGAAGGGAAAAATTCAATTCGCAGCTTGTGCCACGAGATGCTTCTGTGCAGGCGTGTCGAAAGGCATCCGCAACGGCCGGCCGTGAGAGGGACGCATTGATGGACAGAGCAAAGACATTGCTCAGCAAATTGATGGGCAGCTGTCTGGTGTGCCTGCGTCCTCGTCGCCGCTGGCATGCTTCGGGCCATCGGCGTCTGCTCTGCCCACTCACCAAGTCACGCTGCAAACACCGTAGTCATTGATGTGCGCCGATCGTGGGAAGGCGCCCGGACAGGACTTGCCGCCAGCTTCAGGGCATCAATCGATTGGTCCAAAGGCGCCTCGTGGCTCCACAAATTGTCCTGTTCCTTCCCTGATCCTGTCAACGGCGGCCTAGCGCGCAGGAGTTGCAGAGGTCCAAGAGGTCGGAGCATTGAGGTTCCCCACTCCACCAGTTCAGTCAGTGGCAGTCAGTCACCGCAGCCAAGAGCGCCAACAAGTGGTCCGCTTTCTGCCCGCTTGGCTTCTCGTCTCGTCGTCACAACCAGTCGCCGATTCAAAATTACCTGCTCGCTCAATGTAGTTTCTTTTTTGTGCTCTTCTCGCCGCCTGCCTTGATCCTCTCAAACTGGCTTCATTCTCTCATGTTTCTCGACGTCAGGGCTGAGTCTGCTCAAGCCAAAGCCAACACCACCGCGCCCGAAAAATCTCCGGCCTCACCGTCCTCTCGTTCTCGTGTCGCTTCGGCCCCTCGCTTGCCTGCTCTCCATCCTTGGTGTTTGCCAATCCGCTCGCCCTTTGTTCACTCTGGCCTCTGCCTCGGGGCCGTGTAGTGACGCTGCATTTCTCTTAGGACCCGGCGCCCGCTTCGGGTCGTCGCCCTCCATCACCATCTCCTACCGCATCCCACATGTCAGCCAACGGGTTTGCCTCGCCCGTCATGGACCTGGACCGAGGCATCTCGACGTCCACGTCCGCAACATCTGCAATACCCTTTGACCATCAGTCCCAACAACCCCAGTCAGTTTCCGAGGCTCCGGATCACGTACAATCCCACTCCAAGTCGGAATCTCACGGCGCCTTCTCGCCCGGTCACCGTCCCAAGAAGTCTTCGACGACATGCTCAACTTGTCGCTTTCGCAAAGTCCGTTGTAACGGCGCTCGCCCAGTCTGTTCCAACTGCCAAAGGCTTGGGTTCCCATGCTCGTATGACGACTCTGATGCCGATAACTGGTCCCTGGCCTTGCCGCGTCGCAGAGTCAAGCAGGCATGTCTGAGTTGCCATAGTCGCAAGGCCCGATGTTCGGGCCACGTGCCCGCTTGTGAGCGATGTCGCTCCCAGGGTATTGAATGCGTATACCGCCCTGGGAAACGGGCCAAGGGCATTGGTAGAGGCAGCTACGGCGAGGTTCGGAGCCCTCGTAGCCACGATGGTGATGACAAGGACAGGACAAAAGATACGGATCATGACAATCATGATGATAGCGAAACACCTGTGACTGATCCGGCAAACACACCAAGTACCTTTAACCACGACATGTAAGTTTCATATTTTATAAGCCCACGGGATAGGGCATATCTCAGCTAACATGATTGTAGTCCCAGCATCGACGAGTCTTTTGATTCTCTGACTAGTCGCACCTTTGACCAATTCTTCCGCCATGTTCACCATATCCCCATGTACTCATTTTTGCATCGCGCATCACTCATGGAGCAATACAACGCTGGCAAAGTCGACAAAGCACTCTTGTTAGCCCTCATCGGCATCACATCGTGTTTGACGGATATGGGCGCTGGCGTGCGTGAGTACGGTGACCGTTGTATTGATCGCGCAGAACACCTCATTTTCTCCGATTACTCACGGCCGTCAACATTCAAAGTCCAGGCCCTAGTCTTCATGATCAAGCACAGAATACTGTCCAACAAATACCCTAGCGCATTTATGCTCCTGAGCATGGCGTCGCGTTTCGCTGCAGCACTACGCCTGAACCACACCAGCCCCAATCTGTGCTTCTTGGCCCAAGAGTCTCGAAGACGGTTGATGTGGTCACTATACTGCATTGACACTGGTATTTCAGCGGGGTACCGGGATTTTGCGCTGTGGCGAACGGATAGAATCTTTGTCAGCTTGCCTTGCAACGAACGAAACTTCGAATTTGATCTACCACAGGCCGCCGAAATGCTTGACCCTGCAAGCAACGGTCCTGATATACCGCCCCCGGAAGACGTTGGGAGTCTGGCACTCCATATCCGCATCCTCCATCTGCGCCAGAAGATCATCGAGTTCACCAAGGATGTTCTTGTGGGCTGCACCATCACCGATACGCCAAGTCTGCAGGATCCTGTCCTAGCACTGCACAAACAACTAGACGACTTTGCTGGCCGACTCCCGTCTTCGTTTCAGTTCTCCGAAAGCTCTCTCCGACTGCGAGCATACTCTCCCAGGATTTGTGTTTTTGTCATGATCCACGTCTGGTGGCACCAGTGCCATTGCGATCTATATCGTATGACCATGGCTGGATTCAGAGAAGCCCTGCCCGAGGCCACATTGCAGAAACTGGACCCATCATTTCTCGCTCACTGCCAACGCCAGTGCGTAGATCACTCCCTAGCCATGGCCAGCATGTTTTCTTCCATGCAAAAACTCGGGGCCAAACCCGTGGCTGACCTAGACCTGGCCCTTTGTGCCTATCAATGTGCTCGCATGCTAAAAAATGCGCTCCACGGCGGTGCCGAGAAGCTGGGGTTGACGGTCGAGGTGGTGACGGAAAAGGCCAAGGTTTGTCTGCAAACCATCAAACAATGCTGCATGGGTCCGGCAGCAGGGGCCATTCGATCTGACCTGGAACGACTGATCAGCCAGGGTCTTGGGTCAGACGTCTCCTCTCCACAAGACACCATGGTCGACTCCAACCGGACCCACAGCGCTGGCACCGATGCCCCATCCAGACATCCCGTCCTTCGAAATATCGAGGTGACAGAGGAACCGAGCGTAATATCGACAACGCAGACAGTGGCAGGTCGCACCGGTTCCCACCCCCCAGAATCCTTCATGGCTACGCCCGTAACGGCAGCCACCGCCATGCCTATGCAGACGTCGCTGTCCGTCCAGGAACTGGCCACCCCAAATGCTTGGACTACTGGGCCAGCATTTCCCAACATGGCGGCAACTGTACAAGCCCACGCAGAGCCAGAACCAATGGATTTGACAAATGCTTCCAATAAGTCCGACATTGGCGCAGGCGAACTAAACAGCGCCTACGAGGGAGCGCTGGAAATTTTCGACCAAGACAACGGACTAGCTCACGCCATGGGTGTCGAGTTGAACCCTTGGAGCTGGAGCAGTGATTTGCAGTGGCCCGATTTTCTGAGCAGCGGCGTGGGTGTGTGAGTTGGTTTAGGGATCTAGGCATGGGCAATTTTTTAATGGTGCTACGACGATGAAATAACGCATGATACCCGGCGCAGGCGGGCCAGACGTGTTTATACAAGTATCACCTGCTTTTCCATCACGGCGTTTATGTATAAGTGTAGTTGGTATATTTGTAGCAATGACAAGCAAATCGTATCATGTGAGCTTTTTTGGTTTTATTTGAGGGGAAAAAAACATCATATAACAAAAGCTCCCAACTGCGTAAGTCCGCCTGAATAGGGGCTAAATCTTTGCTAATTTAAAATTATCATACACTATCATGGTAAATCACATCTCCACGTGGAACAAGTAGCGGAGCTTGACTTGGGCCACGTCGTAGTAGATGTATTCATTGTAGGCGAGATATGCGCCATCGACGTTAGTTGAGCCGGGGGCTACTTTTGTGTCGGGCTGTTCACATTAGCGCGATTCGACTGATAGAAAAGAGTCTCAAGAAAGCAGCAGGCGGTCAAAGTGGTGGAGCGGTAGCAACGGAGAGGATCAACATACCATTTTAATACCCTTCAGGGAGTGGTGGACCGCTCCCGCGTCCATCCAACTACTGGGACCGGTACTGCCCATTCCCCAAGTACTGTACATGCCACCCTTCTTGGCATCCTCACCGGCGCTGTACGATGCATCAGTCAGTTTCTGAAGCGGGTCGCCTAGTTCAGCCTCGCAGAGGAGCAGAAGTGCGTGACTATTGGAAATATAGGAGCAGCAGTAGTTGGCAGACTTGGTTGACATGTCTGCTAGGTATATACCCTTTCCAAACATGTATCCCGATACAGGAGCCTCCGGAGGTGCGATTCGAAGTCCCTGACTCAGAATACCGCCGAAATTGGTGCATCGTGAACCGTGCCAGAGAAGACGCCTGTCGGAAGGAATTTTGGTGAAGACTGAGTTGTTGAAGCGTTCGTACTCGCCAGCACGCCGGATACGGAAAATATTATGGACCTTATAGTTGATTCCATGGGTTGAGCCCTTGGATCCGTTGAGGTATCGTTGAAGGTAGTCGAACTCGGACGACGAGTGGTCCAAGGGTGTCATTTCGTCCATGCCCAGCCCTCGAAAGTGGCTGTCCATGGGATGGACTGTCCGAGCCTTTGAGCGATCAATCTTCATGATGTTGGACGCGTCCTTCATGTCGGACAGACTTTCTAGGAGCTCAATTTCCTTCTTAAGGAGAGCTTCATTGTTGATGATCGGCGGACGATTGCGACCAAAGGCGTGCGGGATGAGAGAGTAGTATGTATTAGAGAGGTGTTCTGTTGCCTCTGCGACAGTCATGTTCCATTGTGATGTGGCCAGGGTGGGATCATCCATCAGAGAAGCAAGGTCCTTGAGTTGCTGGAAGCCTCGCAAAATGGTGGCTTTGCTGAGCTTCCCGAGAGGCAGCTTGTTGGCGTCATAGTTAAGAGAGGACATGGTTGCGTTGAAGAAGTTTTGGTTGAAGATAAGCTCCATGACCTCACGGACTTGTGGGGGAAGTGTGCATTCTGGAGGTTTGTATTCTTGTTCACCTTCTTCCTTCTTGGCACCGGGAGCTGTGTCTTGCTTGCCGTCGTCAGAGTCATCATCATAGCTTCGCTCCACGAAGGCGTACTTGTTGGGTTTGGGATCCTTGGTGCGATCCTTCCATGCAAGACCAGACTTATCTCTAAACTTTTTCTCAAAGTGCTTTTTGGCGTCATCGAGGGAGCCGTCCCCGAGAATGGCATTCTGTCCCATCTCGCCAACGCGGCCCCATCGGGTCCAAGTTTTGTAGGTCGAGCCTTGAAATAAGATCTGTGGGAGTCAACATCTTGCTTGGAGAACAACTTCCAGTAGGAAGTAGCGAAGAGATAAACCAAGCGGCTTACCTGCAAGCGATAAAACTTATTGTGGTTATTTGAAGTACTGGATTGGTTTAGAGAGGCGTCATATATCATGCCGCTCCGTGGCTCGATATATACTGCATAGGTCTGAAGGGGACAACGCTCATCGACGGGAATAACAACGTCCTTCTTCTTCAAAAATTGACCTTTGGATAGCTCCTTGAGTTTCGTCTCAATGGTTTCCTCCTTGACTGAAATTCCATTGTTTTCTGCTTCTTCTCCTTCCTCTTTTGCTTCATCCTTTACTTTAGCAGCCTTGCCTCGAAGCTTTTTGGCGGCGGGCCCATCATCTGCTCCCGGATCTCGGTCACTGCCATTGGAGTTGGCCACGGCAATTGGGCGCTTCTTTCTACTTCCATCCGCACTGCCATCATCCGGAGTTTCATCACCCCCTTGATGGTTTTGCTCTCCTGGCCAGAGATAGTTGCTTGGGTCCATGTTTGTTTTTAGCTTGGCCACTTCAGCCACCCACTCAGGCTTGACCAACGAAACACCAGCAGCTTCGGCATCTCTGACTTTAGGAGCCTTCTTGAGGAAGTCTTTTTCGTCGCAGACGAGATGGGTGTTGCGGCCGTTCACCGAGGGAGTCACGGATGCGCCAAGGGAAGTGAATAGGGCGTTGAGGTCTTTGTGGGAGTATCCGGGGAACTTGCCAGAGAAGGCGAGGCGATAGGCCTGGAGGGGATTTGCTGGTACGGCTGCGGCTGCAGCTGTCCGGCGACCTCGCGTTGCTGGCATTGTGGGTAGAGATTGACCATTTATGGGGTAAGAAGGATGATGAAAAAGGTCAATTGGAGAGAGTGGAGAATGACGAAGCGATGGAGTGGTCAATCGACGAAAGTGTTGGACATCGGGATGCTGCCGTTTTTATTTCGCCAGCTGGCAAGCAGCTGTCAAGAGTTGACCAGTTCACCGATTAGGCAAGCGCCGCTAGCAGCTTCAAGCTTCAAGCCCAGGAACCAAACATCAAGCTTCGCCCACCACTCCTCAGCCGTGTCTGACAGCCCACTTACTAGCTAACTAATGGCTCACTAGGCTGCAAGGCCCCGCCGCCGCCCTGCGCGAGGCGTCTTCCATCGCGGTCCAACTCCAGGCACCAGCGGGTCAATTTCATCACCGACTCACACAGGCCACAGACGCGACACACCAGATGCTCACCCTGCCACCAACCCAGATTCTCACGACATCCAGACACGAATCGTACACGACATCACGTGGCTACAACTCGTCTTCTTGCTTCGCCTGGCTGCTTGGCGTTGCGGAAAGTGGAGATGCAGCAGATGCTGCCTGTTTTCCAACAACGGAGTCTCACACTTTTTTTGCACAGCGCAGTCAATGTTGGCCAAGTTGCGCGACGCAATCATTCGACTATTGCGGAAGTCGCCGGCGTTACAATGCTATCCACTCCGCTACGTATTTCTGGATCGAGTGAAACCGATGCTGCAAAGTATTTTCTTTGTAGATTCTACGCTAATCAACCCCCATCAGCATCAACAAGCAAACACGCGCAGCCGTGAAACGTACAGCAGTGCCAGGCCAACTGGAGGGGGAAACATTGGGACTGTAATCCTGCGAGTCACGTACATGAGCCGAGCTTCTGTAGACCCTGTTAGCACAATCATATATATACTGCACTATGGACGCATGTACGCAGCGCTGGCTACATCGGTCAAAGGCTGCCATTTGGAGATTCCCATCCTTGGCGTCAAACTTTTGTCCCCGTTACATGTCCACCTCCCCTCTGCGTATCCTAACTGAGTATATCCCATATCGGGTGCGTAGTGAACTGCCCATGCTCATTCGACTCCAGCAGCTCCTGGATCAACAATTCCGCCGCGTTGGGTATCTCATCCATTTCGTCGTCGTCGAACAGCCCCAATTCCAGTCCTAAAATGGTATTAGCCTCGGGCTCACTCGTCGTCGTCGCTGTCAAGGTCGTCTTCACCCTCAATCACTTCATCCGTAACTAACTTCACTGTCAGCCATCCAGGCACGTCGCAACCGCCCCGTCCACAGCTCAAGACCCGATGACTTACCCTCGTTGTCCTCGTCAGTTTCGTCCACTGCCTCGTATGGCCAGTGCACTTCCAGCAGCGGTTTGATCTCGCCGACGAAATGCCTCCAGTCTCGCCCCGTGTACTGGCGTGTTGGGCCCGTCCCTTTGAAGGTGACGTGTGCCGGCACTGGCTTCTCAATCCAGTGTTGCTGCAGCATGCCCATCTTTAAATGCCTCAGCTCAAGGCCGGGGATCTCGGTGAGTTTGCTCAGGAAACGGGCCCAAAAAACCTCCTTGGGCGCGGGGCTAGGCGCATCCGGCGGCAAGTGTCGCAACATTGTGACTTTCCACAACTCCAGGCTATCCAGCGACGGTGCAAATTTAGAAATGAGCTTCAAGAGTCTGGGGGCGTCGATGTTCATTGTACCGAGGCTCAGCTCCTGCAGTTTAGGCATCGAAATGGCCGTTCCGTCGCTGCCGCCATCAATCATCCAGTCAATGAGGCTCACCAGCCCGGCAGAGTTGGTCCGATGCTCGTTGAGGCGCAAGTTCTTGAGGTTCGTCGCATAGGCCAGGAACCTTCTAATGAACAAGTCTGGGGAGTAGCGGCCCGAGCCCGCGATGGCGGGCAAGCCCATGTGCGGAGTGCGCCAGGACAGGTCGATGCACAGGTGCAGCTTCTCAAGGCCCTGAAGCACCGGCACCACGGACGGTTCCATAAACTTTGGGATGTTGAAAGCGAAGTCGCGCAGGTGGTTGGCGTTCCGGGACAAGATCTCGATGCCCTTTATCCTGGCATTGGCCGCACCCAAGGCAAACACGACGGCGGTGAAGACCTGACTGCAATACTGGTACGGGAAGCCCGAGTTCCAAATTCCAGTCATGCCCTGGCTCAAACTAATGCCCGTGTCATGAAATGCCGTCGTGTAGCCGTAGCTGTGCCACTCGGCGTTGGGCCCGTCCCTTGACCGGCGCTGCGAGTTGGCATCCCTGATGACGACGCCTTCCAGATTGGGGAGGTTGCGAAAGGCCTCGGCCATCATATCCCTGTGGTGCCCAGTGTTCCATAATGTAAAGTTGTTTGCATATCTCTCTCTGAACCTGCGCTCCTTGTCGTCGTCTGGCAGAGGCCGCTGGATGCCTTCGGAGAAACGGTCGAGACCAATGTGGACATGGCGCAGGTGGTGTCCGAGGCGACTGTTGGATATGTCTATCAGGGCCTGCAAGCTGTCTTCTGCTATCATGAACTGCTTGCGGGTGAAGAATTCATTGACAAAAGTTGTGTAGAGAGACTGTTCCAGAGAGCGACAGGTCAGGCGAACGCTACCGAGGTCCGGCGTGCCAAGATGGTATGTGATTCGCAAGAGAACTTCGAGGGGTATCTTCTGCATGGGACAGTCGTGTAGAGCCGTGTCCGCCATGGCGGGCGTCTGGTAAAGATGGGGGATTTGCGTTGTGTAAGAGATTGCTTGCTAGGGTCGTGCAATGTGCGACATATCAAGAGTCTGGACTCTGGTCGTGAAGCGGCAGCTGCTCCAGTGAAGTCTGGTGGCACTGCCAACAGAGACTTGTCACCGACACAAGTCCCCGCGCCAACGGCCTGCCTGACCTGCAGCGTCCCTGCGTCCCTGTCTGTTGCGCAAAAATAGGGCACAGCTTGTCCACTTCAGTCTTCTTGAGCGCTCGTCAAACAGAGCCATGTAAAAGCATGACCATGCACATTCACTCACCAGCTCGTCAGCGTTTGGATGTTGTTGCCTCCACCAGTAGTGACTGACCCCTGTGACCAGGCAGCGCAGTGCAGGCAGCACCGGAACCGCTCAAAAAGCCACCAGCAGCCTGAGGTACTTCAAACCGCAAACAAGCCGATTGGGGGCAACTGCCAGTGATGATTATGAAAGGTGATGGAGCACGTGGAAAGGAATGGTTGTAAATTGGCAAGATCGAGAGAACACTTAGCTGACAGTTTGGCAGATGGCGAGGCGGACCTCGTGAAGCCAGTGAGACGGGGCGCGCTGACTGCAAAAGTCGACGACGGCGTTGAATCCGAGACGGCAGCACCAAGAAGCAAACGAGCACGCGATCAAGGCGATTTTTCCATCTCGGGCCGCAGCATCTAGGCACGGTTCAAAGAGTCAAAAACGGAAGCCAGCCCGCGACGAGTCGTATCTTTGGACGAGACGTGGAACATGGACGAAAAAAAATCCGAGGAGAAAACTCGCCCGTCATCAATTGCCACACGCCGCTAATCGCACGCCACATCCTCAGTGGCCCCGAGTTTACCTCCGTACCCCAGAGCGATGCGATTCGTCCCACACGGCCAGCCAGCGTGGAGTAGCACGGAACTGCATCATTGTTTCGCGGGACGAACTGTAGACTGAACTTCGACTTTTGGAGTGGACGGGCTTGTCATGTCGTGCCATGCCGGGCCATGCTGAGCCCATGCCCTGCCATGTATTGTGTATGGTGGCTATAAGAACCATACAGTCCCAAGGTCAGATGAGGTATTGCCAAAATGCGCCTTGTTTCGGCCATGTTATTTAACCAATCGCCAGTATTTTATCAGCCTTCGCGCAGCAATGAACAGAATCCGCAGTTGAAGAAGTTGTTTGGAACTCCTCGTGCCGTCACTCCTGCGTGGCCAAATCGCCTTGCATGCCAGCATCCCCTCGTGGAATCTTCCAAAACCCGCACATGCTTACATCCTGGAACATGAATCTTCGTGTGTGCAATTTTTTCTTTTTAAATAAATATATATACATATGTATACTCCGTACACTATAGTTGAGAGGGAGAGAAAAAAAAAGGAACAAGACACCACAATATCTGCACTCCCCGGGCTCTGATTTGAAAACAGTTGGTATATCCTCCATCGTAAACGCTCAGATCCAAGTGACGCCGTCTATCGTGCTCGCTGTATGCCATCCAAATTCCCAATCCCTGCAATCTAAAAGCGCCGAACCCTTTGACCAAACAAACGCACAATCAACCACTTCAACTCTAATCTGCCCTCTGCCATCTAGTATTGAAAGCGACAAGTCATTATCCACCCTCGTTCCAACAGTTGCATTTGCGTAAAATAGCAAGCCAAATCCCACCAATTATCCCAACACACTCGCATGACGATGAGGAAGATCAAACAAAAAGGCTCTCCAAATGCCAATTTCAAATAAAAAGAAGACGTTGACTGAGATGAAGAAGAAAGAACACATATTGCACCGAAACGCCATCATTCCGTGATTTTACCCTTCATCCCATTTCGGTAAAGTCATTCTGTCGCAAGAATCTTGCCGCCAAATCATCACCACCTTGCTCTGCTGCTTCCATCCAGTGAATAGCAATACACAGCAGTCCCACGTCATTCCTGGCATCGCTATCCTTGCCACCCAGCGCCGGTCCATCTCCCGCTGAGTTAGCAGGTCCCATTGCCCGCGTATTCATGCTAGCATTGGCGAGACCAGCTGGCCCTGCTGCTCCATAACTTCCACGTGTCCTTTCACTTCTTCCATAACTCTCCATGACAGCCTGTTTGAATACTTCCCGAGGTTTAGAGAGTGGCAAAGTTGTGCGCTCGACACATTCTGGGTTGGACATATAAAGCAGAGCAAGCTCGCGTTGTGCCGCTGGATAGCCCTCTCTGGCAGTGATTACACACATCTTCCCCGCATCATGCAAATTGTATATAGTTGGTGGTGGAGGCGGTGTGCCCGTTACCGATGGCTTTGATTCAGACAATATGTGGCCGTCGTTGACAGGATTTCGAGGCCGAGTATGAACTTCAATAACATTATCAGCTATTTCCACCATGGTCCGGCAAACCTCCGACTTGAGCTTCAACGCAGCCAAGCCAACGTTCCAAAAAGCCTTGCCTCGCTCCGGCTTGTCGAGAATTGTTGATGGCACAAACGCCGCAATAAGCTGAAGATCGCGAAACAAAGACTTGGGTCGAATTCCAGCATCCCGAAAAAGCCTCTGAAGCTCGCTGGTAATGGCATCAGTACTTGAAGAACCGCTGGAGATTGATTTCGTCTCCGCGTTAGCTTGTCGTGGTTGGTTCCCGTATCCTGCTGGATGAAATACAGACTGGATAGCCTGGGATCGGCGCTCCTTTACGTTGTCAATCGTGCCATCCAGAGGCGTTTGGCGATTGTTTGGTCCGCGATCCGATGATGTACTGGAACCTGCGTCGGACCGATTTGCTCTAAGCTTTTTAGAACCATGCCACATCAACGAGGCAGTGATGAGATTTTCCAATTCATTGAGAGCATTGAGTTTGGCAAAGGGATTGGGGTTCACACTAAACATGTTGAGGAGCCGGTGGTACGCCTTCTTGAAGGGAAAGTCGGTTGTAGCCTCTTTGGTTTTGCTCCCATTTCCAGTCCCGGTGGTGCCTGCTTCATCTGCCATGCCAACCAAGGGCACATCAGCAGATCGTTCAGATACGCTGTCGCCAGCATTTCTCAAATTTCTAAAGCTCTTTTTTTTTTCAATCACCCTTGGCCTCGTGGAGCTCCGGCCGCCCACTTCCTTGTCCTTCCTTTCTGGACGTCGTCGAGCATGATCAAGGGCATCCTTTCTATCTATAAATTGCTGTCCCAATCCATGGAACCAGGCGTCTGTTTCAGACCCACGGGCCAAGACTTGGCTCCCTAGGTCCGACAGCAACAGACTCGTCAGCGTTTGCCGCAGCTCGTTCAAGAAGCGAGATTTCTCGTCTTCAGCCCGCTGTTGGAAGATTGTCTCGTTAGAAGATGCCGATGTACCAGGACGCCCCGTAGAGACGCTAGAGCTCGAAGGCAAGGGAAAGTGATGTGAAGCCCCGGAGAAGGTCGTTGAAACATTTGTGAGACTTGTGGTGGGAGAGTACGCCCTAGACATACCAGACCCCGGCGTCATGACTGGCTGGAATGGAGACCAGAACGTACTCATAGAATCGACCGTATTAACGGGTGACGATTTTTCAAAAGCATCATGATTTTCCACCACATCAGACAGAGAGGCAGTCGGCCTCGCAAAATTGATTCGGGGCATGTCCAGAGCATGTTGACTCCCGTTCGGGCTATTCGGAAATTTCCCCCTCTCGGGTTCACGCATCATCCAAGATGGTCTGGATGACGGCGAACCCAACCGCCTTTCGCCGTCGCTCAAAATACTTGCCGTATCATCTCCAGACCATGACTGATCCCTCTCGCGGACTCTCATCCGGTCATAAACGACCTTCTCCCGTTTATACAAGTCGCTTGACCACAATACGGGTGCATCCCGAATAGTCTCTCCCACGAGCTTAGATATACATTTGTCCACCTCGCAGCAAAATCGATGTATGCGCTCTTCTCCATGACAGAAATTCTCGATCCCGTACTGTTGCAGCCAATTGGATGTCATTTCCGCCTGGTCGTCGCTCAGCTTGTTAGGGCCGCCCTGCTCCTCCGACGCAGCCAGAAGGTCCATGATTTGTGACTCGGTGCGATAAAGATAGGAAGAACCCGGAGCACGACTAACGTTTGCTCGAGACCTTTGAATGGAGCTCCATCTCCGCGGCATTCCCATCGTCTTCAAAGCTTGGCAGATATCACGACTATGGCCATACTCTTTGGAATTTCGCACATCTGTAACAAACCACATCTTGTCACGCATTGCCCGAACCCGCCTCATCATGCGATCTATTGAACCCTCGTGGCGTTCTTGACTCTGCTTAAGCCATACCAACCATGCGTCGTATTCCTCAATGGCTGCTGCAGATCTTCTGATAGTGTCACGTGGGCCACGGGAGAATATGTTGATTAATACTGCAAATCCATTCGCACGAAGAGAAGGCGATTCAAGGGCGCAGAGATTCTTGAGCGTCTTCCAATAGACATGAGCTGAAACAAAATCAGCCTGTGCCTTGGATTGCGACGAAGCAGCCCTGAGCATCTTGACTAGGACAGGTTCTTCATCCTCCTCTCTGGCTATTCGGACAGCGGAATCTCGCGGTGCCGAGTCCCCCGAAGTAGCATTGTTCGACCTGCTGTTGCTATCATGAGGACTATGTGGATTTCGAGTTGAGACTGACTTTTCTGTTGTAATGATTCTATTCTTCGATTTGTATCGTCGGAGCCTGGACGCTCGATTGGTCAATTGGGGGGCACGATCGCCTTCTGCTTCCAAATTTCTGGGAATCTCATATTCCTCCACCAGTCTAAGGATTGCGTCCCGGATTTGGTGATAATCCTTGTTAAGTTCCGGGCCTTTAGTGTCCTCGTCCTCGTCTGTGTCGGTATTTGAGGAGTTATCGTCCTCGTCCGCCTCGTCCTCTGGGTCATAAGTCATGGAAGTCGATAACTTCTTACCATCGGGCGATAGAAAGAGGACAATCCATCGCTCAGCGCATGGGTGGCAGGTTCCTTTGACCGCTTCGGGCCCTAAATTTTGGTTCAACTCGTGCATAGCAAGTCGTAGACGGTAGCCATCGTCCTCGTAATGATTTAGTTTTCTCTGGGCATCAGGGTCAGCAGACGGAGGAGAGTTCCGTTGAGAGGGCGTATGTGGTTGGCCATCTTGTGACCCTTCTCGCGGGGCCGTTGTTCCATCGCTGACCACGGACGAAAAGCTGGTACTAATGATGGATGCAGTCTCCAAGTTACTGTTCCGAGGATTGGGCGTGGCGACTTGTTGTGAAATAGCTGACAGCCCAGATATGGAGGCGGCGCCAGATCGGAGAGTGTTGGACATGGAAGACATGGGTCGACGCTCAGGAAACAATGCATTGGCTAGAGTGGCCAGGTCGGATGGGCTGAGGACCAAGTACGGATGGACCTCCACGGTCTCTCTCAGGGAAGTAATGGATCGGGCAGGAAGAAGCTTTGCGGAAAGAGTCTTGGAACGGGATCCTTGGAACCTGGCAAGAATCCTCTCTACGTGGCCCTTGATCTGTGGAGGCACTTCCACTGGCACACAAGTGGCAGAAGGCTTGCCACTCCACATGCTAGAAACATATTCGTGAGCTTTCATGGCAACTTTCTTCAGGATTTTTTCCCTCGCATAAGGGGTGATGTGATATTCAGCCAGCATGCCATAGGATTCAGGGTGGACGATTACTCCCAAAAGAAAAACAAAGAAAAGACATCTCCAGACAAGCCATCGAGATGTGTTTTCCACGTATTTGTTGTCCAGTTTCTTGACGATCGCATTACCGAGCTCCAGAAGACCTTCGGGGATCCCTGTCGCATCCTCGTCATCAATCAGTTCGAAAAGTCCCTGAACGGCCCTGTCGTAAAACTCCTTGGCAGCAACTTCGTCAGAGGAGTTCCAGTCTGAAAGATTAAACCGCGTACCATGTTGGTCCTCGGCACGGTCAAGGATGAAGGCACCTTCCTCGAGGATCTTCATAAGATACCATTCCATATTGGATTTGCCGGACCAGTCACGCATCCCGGTCCATATATTGAGCACAGAAATTAGGAAATGTTCACTGCTAGACTTGGGCTGCTGGATGAGTCGGGCGAGCGTTGTTGCCCAAATATCAGTTCGTCGTTGATCCTCGGTGCTATCCGGACCGGCAGAATTAGCAAAGCAGGAGTGTATTAAAATAGACAAAGGATCATGACGCTGAAATGACAAGAGACGTTCTATATCGGAGGTTGCGTTACTTCGGCTAGACGACACACCTGCGTGATGCCTGCTAGCAGACCTCCCATGGTATGGCAAAACGGATTCCACTGGCTCCATTCCCTTGTGAAAGCTAAGGAAAGCGTTCAACTCGGAGCTTGAGAGGGCGCAGATTCGTGTGGCCAGATAATCAGGGTTTGTCCTCAGCTCTGACAAGAAATCCAAAATGGTATCCCTGGACGTAGCAGAAATATCATGGAGAAAGGGGGTAATTGACCTCGGCGGAGCAACGCCAACAACGGAGCTGGTGGGAGTATCAAGGCTTTCCGAAGAACCAAGAGCGGGCGACGACAGCGGTTCCATGTCTGGCTCCAGTAGGGCATATCGGCGCAGCTCATCGCAGCTTTTTCGGACGTCCTGTATTGCGTTATACAGCATTGCAAAGCCATCCTTGTCGTCCTTTCGGAAGCTATCCACCAGATTACGGTTGGCAATATCACCACACCGAGTAAGACGGGCACTCAAGGCTGTGGATATTAGACTTCTCTGCAAGCGCACCCGAGTATTAGCGCGCTTGCGCTCTTGGTATTTGGCCAGGCGCACAACATGGGCGAGCTCCTGCAGTGTGATGTTTTCGTCATCCTTGGTCAGGTGAGGGTTGGTATATTGGGTCACATCCACAATCAACGGTTGAGTACGAAGGTGCCGAGAGGCTCTTTCACTAGGCGGCTCGATATGAGGTGTAGTTAGTTGCTCATTTGAGTTGCACCGGTCGTTGGTCTGCACAGGGACATCGGGCTGTGCTACCAAGGGCCGCCGTGAGCTTGTCAGGCCAGAATGTGTCCGTTGGTAGCTCCAGCGGTTGCTTCCATCGGTATGACGCAAGGGTATGGTCTGTTGCGAGACTTCTGGAGATCGAGGCGGCGTGCGGGATCGGTAACAGCTTGCCTGGGAGACATCTTTTTGATCTTCAGCGGACGACGGACTGGCAGGCCCGCAGGGGCGGGTTGGAGATGCAGGCACTGCTAGCAAAAGGGCATAACATTAGCAAAGGCCGGCAGTGCAGAGACGGGCCGTACGAATAGCGAAGCAAGTTTCATTCTAGTACATGTCAACGTACATGTAGGAGACTGTGTGCGAACCGGCGACGAAAGCGAGCGTTGCATGGAAATCATAGTGCTACCATGCATCCAGACGCTTGTCGGCGTTGTGCACCAGCACGAGTAGCAGCTTCTACACGAAGCCGCCAACCGGCTGTTGTGCGTACGTCGCCCAAGGAAATGGCAGGGACAATAATCTAAAAGATCAGATGGGGCATGAAGAGTCGAGCTCTGAACTTGAAGAAGTAGTACAAGGGAGCTCTGTCCAAGGGACGGTTTTGGAGGTTGAGGGGCGACAATGAGTGGAGTTGGTCATGGAGGGGCCCAGACATGGGGTTGCGGGAGCTCCAAGTCGGATCTCGAGAGAAACAAGGAAACAGTCGCTGGCACCGGGCCAGTTTCAAGAACAAGGAGAAATAAGCAGGCAGCAAACGCCGCAACGCTGGAAACACCAGAACAAGGATACCAGGCAGGGAAAAAGAGAAGAAGCTGGGATGGAGCACGATGGGGATGGAGATGGGGAATGAGAAAGAGATAGATGGGGTAGGAGGCAATACATAAGGCACGAGGAGAAGAGGAGCCAACCGAGTCGGCAACATTGAAGTCCAAGTCCAGATGTCGGCACTGGGGGGCGGGGGCAAACAGCGCTTGAGCGTGCGCATTTGCAGCCGGCGTCAATGCATGCATGCACTGTAGCGAGTGTGCTTAGAGCCACTTGGGTGGAGGCACCAGTACCAGCGCAGTTGACCAGACCGTCCAGATGTCGATGTCGACACGTTCCGTCGACACATCGGACGGACATGTACGGAGTTAATGTACATGTGTGAGCGGGATTATGGGAGGAGCTCGACGTGGCCGCCAGCACCAGGGGAGAGGAAGGTGCAGGCGCGTGGACCCTGGGGTAACAGCAAACCAGGCGTGAGGAAAGAGCTCTGGCGGGTGACGACTGGCCACTTGAGCCAGTTGGCGGCGTTTGAGCAGTTGACATGAATTGGAAAACGATACACCCGACGTCAGTATTTTGCCTTTGGTGTATGTCGGTACACGTCTGCAGCCTGTGGTGCCTCCAAGCAGGAACTCGCTGTCAAGTTGACACGAGCTACGTTCTGCCATGGTTAAGATACTTAAGTACATATCATGGTCTTCAGCGCTGGCGTGCCAAACACACAGCTGCCTCGCCCCTTCCTTATACAAATCAAGTCAGCCGGTACCTGCCTTCTCATCAGACAAGTGGGAAAAGGCGCATGAACTCGCATTAGCATCTTGGCTCTTCAACCCCCAGGTCAAATAGTACAAGCACACTCGATATCGCATGTCAACGGACAATGGGCAAGCATTGGTATTTCTGCCCTCCGTCCACTCACTGCTCACAGCTGTCTCTCCCCTCTGACCCAGTTTTGGACTCCGGCCAACCGGCTTCTGCAGGATACCTACCTAGGTAGGTAGGCAGTAGGTAGGTAGCTTCAGCTCGGTATCGAAGCAGCAGATGGATGGAGTTCACTTTTCACGCATCCATGTCTCAATGCAGTGACTAGGCCTCGTTCTGTCAAGCCATTCTGTGTGCCCCTGACCAAGAGCAATGTAGTGGCCTTTCCTTTTTTTTTTTTTTTTTTTTCCTCCCTCACTTCTCTTTTGCCTGCTCTGACTGACTAGCTTGTTCCAAATGTCCGGTCGACGGTCCAAGCATGGAGGTACCCGAGGCAGCCTGCCGACACGGATAGGAGCACATTTCCCATGTAAGTCTCAGGGAGCTGTCCCCTAGTCCAGCTGAGAATGGTGAACTCAATCAGCACCCCGTGGACTGGCCTGGTAACGAGTCGGTTGAGGCCACCAAGACCCATCTGCTTTTCTCAACGGCACCGGGTAGTACGGTCCACGACTATCAATATAAACCGTCTCCCGAGGAGATGCTCTCCCTCCTACACACGGTAAGCACTTCACCAGAACACATACCGTTTAAAATTGGTTGGTGGCGGGTAATATGATGACGAGTTGCCTCCATCTCAGGATGTGCCAAAAGCAGAGTCTTCTTATCCTGTGTCAGAGCTACACTGATGAGAGTCCAAACACTACACAACCTGTGTGTCACAGGGTGACAGGTAAAGCAGACAGCACATCGAGGAAGAGCCTGTGGACTTTGTACCTCTGGTGCGCACCAGCAAAGCAACTCCAGCAATTACGACCTCCTGCAACTAGCACTGGCGGCCAGGCGTAGCCTTGGTGAGCTGGCATTGCAGATTGCATATGAGTGCATCCGATGTGCATGGGCGTTCGCCAATCTCAAAATACCAGCTCAGTTTGTGGACAAAAAATCTGTGTGTGCTACCGGATAGAGCTCACGAGGAAGAACCCTCGAGACGGCTACTCCATTCGGAGTCCGGACTTCTGCAGGAAACCACCCAGACCCGACAGTCTCGCCGCCAATCCGACACCGCCCCTGGCCGTCTATCGACGTCTCCCCCCACAAGCTCAAAAAGCTGTCTACCACCATCCACACCGTTCTATCCAATCCATGCCATCCACGAAACCGTCTTGGCCATCGCCCAATCCGCGTCGTCCACGCCATAATACAGGCGCCGCATGCACGAGGTCTGTGTGCCAACTCACATCCCGACCCAATCATGCGCCAACTCACCATGCAACAAGATGGTCATCCCTTTTCACTCGCCGGGCTAGCTGACAGTCTCCACGAGCTAGGAGGCGATTCACCTGATCCATGACCAAGCCAAGGGATACAGCGCATTGTAGAGATCATTTCCGTTCTGACAGTCCCCAGTCGGACCTAATATACGAGAAGAGCGACTAAGAGCGTCACAACCCGCCGTATGGGAGTCCTTCTTGTTTGTTGCGTTCAAAATGGATCCGGTTGGGTTTGGAGTTGATTAGCAATTTGCCAAGCGATCTACAGCAATCTTTGGTTCGGATACGAGGATACCTGCAAAGTATATGCTGGCTTAAAGGTACACTACGCCGCCCGCACCTAATATTAATGGTCTCGTTAATCTATCATGACTCCAAGCCGAGCCTAGGGCATAACCCTCGATCATACGAAGCCGCTAGATCTATTACCCCTAACTGGGTGCTTTAGGATCCAGTTGCCCAGTCATATTTATCTCCAGAATCGATAGCAGCTAACTGTCTCCCAAACGCTCGCAAGGCCATGGGCTAACCCAATCACGTCCAGCGAGCATGAGTTGAGCCAAGCCTCCACGTAAATCACTTAAAATTTGACACAAATCAATACAAAACTTGATGGTGTAGTTTGTAATTGTATGTCTTGCCCAGCGGTTGAAGGAAATCAGAGCATTTCCGCATTTCTAGTCTGTAGGACACGATCTAACCCGAGTAATGCACTATCCGAGTGGTGTCAATAGCATTGGATGTCAAGTGCCATCAGCTTCAGAGAAGAAGAGATTGGTATGGCACATGGCATCATTGAAATGAGATGCTATATCAAAGTTGAGATGTTTTTTCCCACTAGTATTCCTCGCCCAAACTCACCCTATGCAGGAGATTCCCTAGATCAACACACCTGCCGAGGCTCTTGTACGAAATTCTCATCCATTCCTTTTCTGTCTTTTGACTCATCACATTCCACAGGCCAGTTGCCAGAAGATAAGAGGCACAAAGCAGCATGGCCTCCACTGGTAGAGCTGTTTGAAGTCATGTAGGAGACCCGATAAAGAGCCAAGCTCAGCACTCATACAATCGAGACGAAGGCTCGGCATCTAAGCCATGTGTATGACAGACCTGCATTTCGCATACGGGAACGCCGTGCTCCCCCGCAGCAACACCTACTTCTCAATGGCCCGGTATCCTTTTCGACACTATTATCTTTCCAAGAAACAGTTTCAATCTAACAGGCGGTAATTGAGCGTCCGAAATGTTCCGCGGACAGGTTCAGAAGCTGAGGTCCGTGTCGCGCCGGAGTCGTTCGTGGATAGATATCCTGCACGTAGTGCATTGACGATGGTATCTTCCCAAACAAGCGAGAGCCAATGCCCGTCCTTGGCGGTCTGAAAGGTTTAGTCGTTTCGTGTTGACTGCAATGATGATTTATCGTTGGTCCAGCGTGGAAAAAAAAAAGGGTAAGGCAATGTGATTGACGTGCGAGGCAAAGGGAGATGGAAAGAATGGGGTTTTCTATCCACGGATTGTATTCTACTAAACCTATCGTTCCTCTTCGCAGTGATGTATCGTTTTCAGCCTCGCTGCTAATCTTGTTGGCCCTTTGTAGGTTCTGCGACTTTTTTTTCCAAAGGCTACCCTGGATACTCAAAGGCAGCCACATGCCATACCATAGCAGCAGATACATCAACATGATGCTGGAATGACCACCTGATTGAGGGAATATGTGATGTTGTTATTTTAGAATTCTGGGAGGTGAGCTGCTCATATAGCCGATGGAAGACTGGGCCCAGCCTACCGACTAGTTGGATCACAAAGACGTTAAGGAATAGAACACAACTGTACAAACGTTCTTCGATTTCAAAATGCAGCCGCAACCGTCAAAAGTAGTAGAGGAGTATAATGCGTGACCCTTATGAAACAACTACTTCCGTAGCTTTTGCCTTTCCCATATAATACAGCAACCCAAAAACAACGAATGCCACCCATTCATAATGCATAACCAACTATTTTTTTTAGTCATGCTCCATGACTCTCATTTCAGCACTCCCTTCCGAAGCGTACGTCGAATTCTTTCAAAACACTCATTATACTCGCCGCCTCGACCTCTATAGCCTGTCTCCCCGGAGTGACCCGGCCCCCATGCTGTGTAGTCTTCAACTTTGGCAGCCACGAAGAAATGTCGTCTGCGGCTTTGGAGAAGTTCCTGTGGCTGGACAGGGTCTGGTAGGCTTCGGCGCAGCTAAGTCCCAGGCTGGGCAGGCTGGGGAGGGTGATTTTCTCAGGGGCCTGCTGGGTCTTGGACTTGCAGCATCCCTCGCCGGCACCTTTCCCGCCACAGCAACCGCCGCTGGAGCCTTGTTCACGACTGTACTTTGCATTCATCAGGCGGCAAAACAGGCCGGATTTGGGGTCTGCCTGGCATTGAGCGCATGTGCCGGGTCCGTTGGCGCCACAGCCGCCCTTGGACGAGGGCGATGCTTTGTGGACTGGTTTTTTGCCTTGGATTCTGCGGGGGAGCTTGACGGCTCCATCTGCCGTCATTTCCATGGCTAGAGGGGGCGGCAGGATATCGGGCTCCGAAGGAGGAGGGGTTTGGGTTTGGTGGGAAACAGGCTGTATTGATTCGGTAGGAGTCATGGCCGGGGTGGCCATGCCAGCTGCATCCTCGGCGCAGACGCAGTACGTGCCTTCTTTGCAGAATCCGCAGCTCTCCTTGAATGCCATGGACTCTCCGGAGGGCATCTGGGTCACGGATGGGGGCTGGTCATATGGTGATTGGGGTGTGGCATCGGCAGCAGGCTTTCTTGAGAAAATGGCAGTGAAGTCCGTCTCTGTAAGGGCGTGAGTGTCCACATCCGGACGGTGTCGCTTGTTGTCGGACGAGCCGGCAGACGGTGACAGAGGCCTTTTCATGTCCTGCCCTGCGTTGACATTGTTCGTCATGTCATCCAAGCATTGACAAGCAGCGCCAAATCCACACTTGCCGCAGCCTGCGGATGCGGAAGCGAGCACCTCTTCAGCACATGCACAGCGGCTATTGGGTGAGCAGTTGCCGCAAGTGATAGCTGCGTCGGCCTCGGGGTTGTTGGAACTGATGTCTAAGCTTTCGGGGGGAGTGATGATGTTGGAGATGGAAAAGTTTCTCCCCTGCGAGAGGTGTTCGTTGCGTCCGCTGGATAGGCTGTGACGGGCGTGATGATGTACAGGACTGTGAGGTTGACTGTGCGAGTGGCGAGGACCGCTTATTCTTTGCGGTCGAAAAAAGTCATCACCATGCCTTCTTTTGAGCGTCTCTGCCTGGGTCTCGGCGCGAATACGTTCCTGTCGCTCACGATCGAGCATATTCTCCAAAAGCATACATCTAGATCGGAACGACTGGAGATCCAACTCTAGATTGCGGATCTTCTCCTTCAGCTTGGCTTCCTCCTGCTGATGAGCGTCTTTTTGCTCGTCCAGCTGCACTTCCAGTTCTCCTACACGGGCAGCTCGTCGTTCACGGAAAGCGCGCTGAGCAGCACGGTTTTGTGCCTTGCGCTTTGTTGGAGGAGTGTCTGTCGCTGGTTTACGGCCAGGCTTGGGACGCGGCGGGATGACCCATTCCTTGGATGTCATGGAGATCTTGGGCGCCTCCGCAGTGGGAGAAGGGCTGATGACGGCCGCCATGGCCATTTTATCGACGAGCGGTGCAGATAAACGGGGTAGAGGGACCGAACCACCGGTTGTCTTGGCCGAGGTGTTGGCCTTGGGCTGTTTCGTCGGAAGCGGTGCTCGAGAGGGCGGGCCAGGCGCACCGGATGTAGGAGCGAGAGACCCGGCGGTGCCAGCGGAGGGGCCGGCAGCTGGTCTCTGAGCAGCCTTGGACGAAGGCCTTGATGCTATCTGCCTCTGGTTGCTGACCTCTCTGACGGCTCCGGGATTACTATGGGATGGAGGTGAGGGAGCGAGAGGAGCGGGAGTGGACGGCATGGGCATGGTGACGGAACCGAGTGGGTGGAGATTTTGTTGCGGTGCTTGCGGCGGTTAGTTGGTTCTGAGCCGTGATTGGCTGATATGCGAGCCAATAGCTCGGAGTTCCGAATCGGGCGGGTGGTCTGATTTTGCGTAGGATCAGATAAGAAATCCGGTACTCGGGGTCTGATGCAGCCCATAAAAATGAAGTTTTTTTTTCAGTGTTGAATGATTGGAAAAAAAAAGCACTCAATGCTGAGCTAGTTCGGAAGCATCAGAGATGATAAAAGTATTGGATTGGAAGATGCAATGCCACTGGGTTTTCCTCGATCCTTCTGAGCAGGTTTGCGCTCGATATATCAGCGCTGCGACACCCAGAGTCTCAGGGCACACCAATGCGCCAAACCAACGCAGGCAGTAAACAAGGGAAATTGGGAAAATCAGCAAATAAGATGCGGGCAATTGCCAGCGCTTGAATCCCGTTTCGTCTTTTGGCAGTTCACATGGACTTGTTGAATTTCAAGTGACGGGGACAGGGAAACCAACAAACAAAGCGGTGGGTTGAGGAGGAAGAAAATGTGTGAAGAGGAGAAGAAGGACTGGAAAACACTCGACGGCTAGTGCGCTCGCGAAAATGAGCAGCCGCGGGTCTATTTGAAAGAAGAAGCAGGCGGTGTTGGAGTGAGCGAGCAACCAAGTTCCACGAGACGAGGGTGGGCCATTGATCGATTGATAAGATTTGATTGATAAAATTTCACAGCATCGTCCATCTCCTGCGCGCTAAAAAAGCCCTCGTCCTCCGCCCTCTTGGTCCTCTTGGTCCTCTTGGTCGTCTTAGTCTGTGTTGGTCTCCACAGGTGATGCTCAGTCCTTTGGTTGGGACCCTTGCCTAGCATGTGCCGAATGAATTCCGATCGAATTGCTTGTAGGGCTTTTGGTGCAGCTTTATACGGTGGGTAAGGTGCCTTTCTTTGCGAGGTGAACATGGCGACCCCGTACTCCCCGTGCTCCGGCTTCGCTCGCTTCTACATACTCCATATTGCGTGATTCAAAGTATGCGCCGCGGCCAATCCAATTGGTGTCGAAAAAAATTTGTCGGGCGTACTAATGAATTTTGTCTGAAATGCTTGACGGGCATCATGGGGTGTTCATGGGGACGGAACTTGCCACAACCGTATTCGGTCCCCGCGACGAATGACCAGCATCTGAAATTTAGTCGGCTGTTTTCTTCATGGCAACATGGCCTGGCTGGGTCTCAGATGATCCGCATGCCCACTAATTCACTCAATCCTCTCGCCACTATGGAGAGTACATCCTGTGGGATAGGCCAGATTATTCGTGAATTTGGTTCACCGCGGAGAAACTGACTTGGCTTCGGCCAACAGGGAACGGGCTGTGGAAGCAACGAGGCCAACGGGCGGGCGGCTGAGCAAACTTTCCCAACGAAGATCCTGCTTTTTAACAAGAGGAAGCTACCAGCCACTGGCCGGCCCTCTGAATAGAAACATTGCCGTACGGCCGTCATATGGACCATTTCGTACGTAATTCGCTACCGGATCAGTGGATCTCGTGGATGTTTTGTCCTGGTGGGCTCTTTGGCTCTGCTCTCAAGTGCTCCCATGGTTGGGTTAAGCTCCTCCCATGCAAATAGTGGGGTTATGCAGCAATGCGACGGGCTCACCACACCTCTGGAGTCTGTCTGGTGTTTGTAAAGTGGACTTTTGTAGCTGGTCTCGAGTCACCAGACAACTCTCCACGAACCTCAAGCCGCGAGCCTCTAGAGACGACTCTTTCGGCTGCAACACTGCGCGTTCTCCCAGGGATGTAGGATGGCGCTTTATCTGTCTGAAAACTAGCATGCCCAGAACCAAGACTCAGCATGGCCAACCTCGCGGTTCCCTCCCACCAGCGCCCCACCTCCTCCACGTCGACATCATACAACCTCCCTTCCGACTCCTCAGATGTCGACCCGGACAATGACGCTCCTCTCCCCTTCCCAGCAGCCCTGCCGCGATCCGACTTTCTCGTCCCGGACTTTGACCCGGCCGCATATCTCTCTGCCCTCCCTCACCGCCACCAGACCCTCGAAGATTTACGGTCCGACCTTCGCGATCGCAGTTCAACCATCAGCTCGGAACTTCTTGAGCTCGTAAACTCCAATTACACTGCCTTTTTGTCATTAGGTTCCGAACTCAAAGGTGGCGATGAGAAGGTCCAAGATGTCAAAGTGGCCCTGTTGGGATTCCGAAGAGCCGTCGAGGAGGTCAAGATCAAGGTGGCCAAGAGGAGAGACGAGACGAGAGAATTGAACGACGAGCTGCGTCGTGTACGCTTAGACATCGAGCAGGGGAGAAAGATGCTTGAGATTGATGATAAATTGTCCGCTCTTGAGGAGAGATTGTCCGTGGACAGATCACATGCTAGCGCGGGACAAAATGAGTGGGATTCGGATAGCAGTGACGAAGAGGAAGATGATGGTGCTGTGGCAGGACTGCTGGGGAGCTCGCCTGCCAAACTATTGCAATCGGCAAAGGAATGTGGCGAGATTATTCTGTTGAAAGAGCCCCTCGATCAGCAACATCCGTTTGTCGTAAAGCTGGGGGAACGGTTGACCAGATGCCGGAATACTCTGCTGTTGGACCTGGGCAATGCGCTGAAAGAAGCAAAAGGAGCTGGCGTCCAGGGACAAGATCGATTGCTTAAATATCTGGCCATATATCGCATGCTGGATGCCCAAAGAGAGGCCATCAAGGCGCTTAGAGGCGGTTAGTGCGACTAGCACAAACACAAAAGCGAAGAGCCTGGGAAATAGAATACACTGTATATCATCATGATGCTGGGCCACATGGTTGCCCTCTAGAAAGCCATGCGATGCGTTTGATTTCTAATGCGACGACCCGACTATTGTACAGTATACATACGTTCCCCTGATCCAATTATTTTACATGACGCCCGCCAAAGCCTCAGGCTGCGTCTCTCCCTCAACGTCATTAAATTTTCCATTGAGGCTTAGAGAAGGCCCATTGGTAGTGCTGAGAATCACCTCATGTACCTCCTTGGACACTTCTTCCGAGATTTCAGCACACTCGGACTTGACCTTCTTCAATAAAGCCTGGATATTGACCTTCAGCTGATCGGGGGTGTATCCCAACTGACCAATAGCCATGCGAATAACGCCCTGTCGCTCTCTGTAGTCGGCTGCGCCAGCAGAATCGCGAATCGACTTGGTCACGTCGCTGACAATTGTCTTCATTCTTTTGCTGGGCATGAGTCCCTTGGGACCCAGGATCTTCCCCAACCCAGCCTTATTCAGGGCCTTTTCGCTAGCCTCGTGGCAAATGAGGCGGTCGAAATCGATCTTCTCGTTACGAATAGCTTCAAATAGGGTCTCTTCTCCAACGGCGACGGCACCAGCAGCTGTCGCGGCGGTGGCAATGTCGCTTCCTTCGGGACAAATGACGGCAATCTGCCAGTCGCTTTGGACAGGGTGCGGAAGTCGGATGCTATTTTTGACGACGGGCCCGTTTCGTGCGGTTTTGAGATTAATATGGACTTCATATTTGATGGAAGCAGGGGGCTGGCCGACTTCCACAGCACGGAGCACACTGGGAGAGCAATTAGTATGTGCACGGAGCGTAATTCTTAATCAGGAAACGCTTTGAGCATACCGCATAGCCTCACACAGTGAAAACTGGGGAAATTGTCGCTTTTCGAGGTTGTGTCGTTTGAAATCCTTGGGGATGGCACGCTTCTTCTTGACTTTCTTGATTCTGACAACAGAAGCCTGACGGGTCTGAACGAATGCGGGCGTGAGAAATTTTGGTATTGACGTCGTGGATGGCCGTGTCACCTGTGCGATGCTTAGCCTGGCCATTGAGGCCAAGCATTTGTCGATTGCCGTCATTGTTGCCGTGCTTGATGAAGCTCCCAGGAATGTCGACAGGAGCTTGCATCATGCGCAAAAGGACCGAACCGGGCGTTGGCAGTTTCATGCCTCGTAAGTTAGGCCTGAAAATTCTAGTCGCGTCAATGCTTATCGATAATGCGTGTTTGGCGCCTAGTTGGGCCCCTCAAAGCCCCCTCCATGAGAAGCTGCCCTTGACCCCACCACCGAAAACGACTTGACTCACGGAAATATAGTGTCAACGGTTGTCTCATCCAGCCTTCTGTTCTTTTTGCAGAGCAACTTCGGACACCGGACATTGAAAATGAAGCACGAGGAGCTCGAAAATCTTGCCAGCAATCTCTCCGGAGATTTCCGCACCATTGAGCCCCGTTTGCGGGACCTTGATAAGCACCTGACTCTTAGAACCTACCTGGAGGGGTACACCTTGGGAGATCTTGAGAAGAAGATTTGGCAGACTCTACGAGGAAACAAGGTTGCCATTGGGTTTATCCGACGAAATGGACTTCCTAATCTGACTAGGTGGTTTACTTTCCTTGAGCAGACTCATCCTGAGCTTCAAGAAGACGCCGCTAAGGGCAAGACCATTGCAAACAAGGGTGGTGCCAACTACAACCTGGCTCTTCAGGATGCCGAAAAGGGCGTTGTGACTCGATTCCTTCCCGAGCCTTCGTATGTTCATCATGACTTTAGCTCGTACATGGTAACTATGCTAATACATTTACAGAGGCTATTTACACATCGGACACGCCAAAGCGGCTCTTCTCAGCGACTACTTCGGCCATGTTGCCTACAAGGGCCAAATGCGTCTCCGACTTGACGACACTAATCCTGCCAAAGAGAGCGAGGAGTTTCAGGATGCAATTGTCGAGGATCTAGCTCTCATGGGAATCAAGCCCGATGCTCTGACATACACCTCCGATTACTTCGAGTACTTATATGAGACATGCAAGAAACTCATCTCTATGGGCAAAGCCTACGCGGATGATACTGACCAAGAGACCATGAGAGCCCAGCGAATGGATGGTATCCCCTCCAAGCGCCGTGACAGATCCATCGAGGAGAACCTGCGCATCTTCGAGGAGATGAAGAAGGCCTCCGAGGAGGGTCTGGCTCACTG